TAAACAAGTTAAGAAAGCCTAGGGAAAATATGGATTTGTCAGTTAAAAACAGAGTAGGGGAGTTAGTAGATGGGGAGATGGAGGTATTGGGTAGATGGCGAGAATATTTTGAGGAACTTTTAAATGTTAAGGAAGAAACAGAGGCAGTAATTTCATGCACTGGTCAGGGAGGTATACCATCTTTTAGGAGTGAAGAAGAGCAGAATGTAAGTGTGGGGGAGGTACGTGAGGCATTACGTAAAATGAAAGGGGGTAAAGCAGCTGGAACTGATGGGATCATGACAGAAATGTTAAAAGCAGGGGGGATATAGTGTTGGAGTGGTTGGTACTTTTGTTTAATAAATGTATGAAAGAGGGGAAGGTACCTAGGGATTGGCAGAGAGCATGTATAGTCCCTTTATATAAAGGGAAAGGGGACAAAGAGACTGTAAAAAATTATAGAGGAATAAGCTTACTGAGTATACCAGGAAAAGTGTACGGTAGGGTTATAATTGAAAGAATTAGAGGTAAGACAGAATGTAGGATTGCGGATGAGCAAGGAGGTTTTAGAGTGGGTAGGGGATGTGTAGATCAGGTGTTTACATTGAAGCATATATGTGAACAGTATTTAGATAAAGATAGGGAGGTTTTTATTGCATTTATGGATTTAGAAAAGGCATATGATGAGTGGATAGAGGAGCAATGTGGCAGATGTTGCAAGTATATGGAATAGGTGGTAAGTTATTAAATGCTGTAAAGAGTTTTTATGAGGATAGTGAGGCTCAGGTTAGGGTGTGTAGAAGAGAGGGAGACTACTTCCCGGTAAAAGTAGGTCTTAAACAGGGATGTGTAATGTCACCATGGTTGTTTAATATATTTATAGATGGGGTTGTAAAGGAAGTAAATGCTAGGGTGTTTGGAGAGGGGTGTGGGATTAAATTATGGGAATCAAATTCAAAATGGGAATTGACACAGTTACTTTTTGTGATGATACTGTGCTTATGGGAGATTCTAAAGAAAAATTGCAAAGGTTAGTGGATGAGTTTGGGAATGTGTGTAAAGGTAGAAAGTTGAAAGTGAACATAGAAAAGAGTAAGGTGATGAGGGTGTCAAATGATTTAGATAAAGAAAAATTGGATATCAAATTGGGGAGGAGGAGTATGGAAGAAGTGAATGTTTTCAGATACTTGGGAGTTGACGTGTCGGCGGATGGATTTATGAGGATGAGGTTAATCATAGAATTGATGAGGGAAAAAAGGTGAGTGGTGCGTTGAGGTATATGTGGAGTCAAAAAACGTTATCTATGGAGGCAAAGAAGGGAATGTATGAAAGTATAGTAGTACCAAACACTCTTATATGGGTGTGAAGCTTGGGTGGTAAATGCAGCAGCAAGGAGACGTTGGAGGCAGCGGAGATGTCCTGTCTAAGGGCAATGTGTGGTGTAAATATTATGCAAAAAATTCGGAGTGTGGAAATTAGGAGAAGGTGTGGAGTTAATAAAAGTATTAGTCAGAGGGCAGAAGAGGGTGTTGTTGAGGTGGTTTGGTCATTTAGAGAGAATGGATCACAGTAGAATGACATGGAAAGCATATAAATCTATAGGGGAAGGAAGGCGGGGTAGGGGTCGTCCTCGAAAGGGTTGGAGGAGGGGGTAAAGGAGGTTTTGTGGGTAAGGGGCTTGGATTTCAGCAAGCGTGCGTGAGCGTGTTAGATAGGAGTGAATGGAGACGAATGGTACTTGGGACCTGACGATCTGTTGGAGTGTGAGCAGGGTAATATTTAGTGAAGGGATTCAGGGAAACCGGTTATTTTCATATAGTCGGACTTGAGTCCTGGAAATGGGAAGTACAATGCCTGCACTTTAAAGGAGGGGTTTGGGATATTGGCAGTTTGGAGGGATATGTTGTGTGTCTTTATATGTGTATGCTTCTAGACTGTTGTATTCTGAGCACCTCTGCAAAAACAGTGATAATGTGCGAGTGTGGTGAAAGTGTTGAATGATGATGAAAGTATTTTCTTTTTGGGGATTTTCTTTCTTTTTTGGGTCACCCTGCCTCGGTGGGAGACGGCCGACTTGTTGAAAAAAAAAAAAAAAAAAAAATATATATATATATATATATGTAAGTTATACTTAAACGCCACATGAATATTAACCTGTGAAACATTCTTACCCATATTCCTTATGTCCCAGCAAGCACGAAGTATCAGGAATATGGCGTCGTTGACCACTACACCAGCGATTTCCACTGAATATGGGTCAAACGTTATCACCTTCGCATGCTAACTCAAACATTAAAGCGCTCGTGATATGGTTGAATGGAAGAGAGAGAGAGAGAGAGAGAGAGAGAGAGAGAGAGAGAGAGAGAGAGAGAGAGAGAGAGAGAGAGAGAGAGAGAATGAAATTTATATGCTGGTAAACTTGACACAAACTGTTGAAAGCCATATCTGCATTCCCTTTGATAGCTGATTGTATACTAGAGTTAACCCAGAGTAAACTTTATTCATGTAAAGGAATTTGCTGGTAAAGTATTCAATTTCGAGGAGAGCTAGATCTAGCTGCATGAACCGAAAGTCACTTCTAAACAGGTTTTACACTAACTTGCTTATGAGCCTACTAATAAGTTCTCACTGTCTCTGCCTCCCCCCTCTCTGTCTCTGTATCTCTCTCTCTCTCTCTCTCTCTCTCTCTCTCTCTCTCTCTCTCTCTCTCTCTCTCTCTCTCTTCTCTCTCCGTTCCTCCCCTCCAGTCCCTGTTTTTCCATCAGTTTCGAATAGTCTTCGACACAGAAAATGACAGAGAGGTTCTGCAGGTGTCAGAAGACGAGACAGCTCCAGGATTCCCAGCCTTCAAAATGTCTCGTAAACTTATAAATTACATATTCTCTGTGTCTGTATCTGGCCACCGTGAGTTTAATATTCTGGGACTGAATCCATGTGTGAACAATTTCACTGTGTGTGTGTGTGCCCGCGCGCGCGTGTGTGTGTGTGTGTTTGTGTGTGTGTGTTTGTGTGTGTGTGTGTGTGTGTGTGTGTGTGTGTATGTGTGTGTGTTTGGATACGTACGCTTTCCCTTGAATATAATAACAAGATTTCCTTGTCCAGCAAGTCTAGCCACTTTTCCCTCACCACCACATAGGGAGGTGAGAATCGGATTCGGTACTCCGTGGACCCCGCCAGCGATCCCGGGGGAAAGTTCGCGGTGGATGGGTCTGGCTCGGTGCGGCTCGCGGGAGGTCTGGACCGCGAGACACACCAAACTCACAATGTGCGAGTGTGGGCGGTGGACGATGGAGTGCCACCCAGAACCGCTACTGCCACACTAATGGTGAGTATAAAAGAGAGAGAGAAAGAGAGAGAGAGAGAGAGAGAGAGAGAGAGAGAGAGAGAGAGAGAGAGAGAGAGAGAGAGAGAGAGAGAGAGAGCTGATGCTACTGTTTAGATGACCGAAGGTAAGTTTTATAACAGTACGATTAAAAGTGACCTTGCCATATTTATATTCAACTTCAGGACTAGAAACTGTTCTTTAGTCATACGAGTAAATGTTTAAAATATGGGTAAAAATCTGAGTTTGCAACTCTGCAAATAACAACAAAAACTGAAGCACTTACGGATCCGATAAGCCTGAAACCTAATGAAGCTAAGTGAAACAGAGCCAGCACCTGGCAGACTACACCAAAAGGTTTGTATCCTTGCATGTATAAGTTTATATTAATCTATAACTTTGTTACGACTTCGTGAATACGTGATATATAGCAACTTGATAGATCCTTGTGGTTAGCTGGCCTAACGAAGGCAAACCTCGACAGACGTAGTACCACAACACTTAATGTGAAAGTTCTTTACTGATTTGGAGTCTCGGCTTTACCCCAGTAAATTCTTCAACATTGTCACTTAACAGACGCCTTAACATATATTCCCGTGAATTATCCAGACTATCTCCAGCAAACACTGAGGAAAAGGAACTAGTCTGAGGCTTGTTTCTTGTTAATCGCCAGAAATTTAGTGAGTGTTTTATTTCCTGCTTGTACACAAGCTAACTTTTAATATTTTAGTGTATTATATATTTCCTCTTCGGAGTGAATTATTAATTTAGTCATAGCTAATTTCTAAAGCAAATTAGATAGCACGGCCTGACATTAAATAATCCATCAAACAAATCTTCTAAATATTTTAAGGTAACAGTACGGTAAGGAAACAAACCATACCACGGGCGGGGATAGAACCCGCGATCAGAGAGTCTCTGATCGCGGGTTCTATCCCCGCCCGTGGTATGATTTGTTTGCAATCGTGTCATTAAGATTTCGTGAGTCATGTTACCGTAAGGAGTAAGATACATGACAGTTATTGTGTAGCATTAAATCTATTATACAATTTAACGAAGTCAATGTTATTATAGCATTACCGGGTTCTAATAAAGGAGGCAATTAGTAGCTTAATGACCAGGATAAGTTGCAAGTAATTGATACAGTACTAAGCATATTTGACCTTATAGAATTGTTTACCAGGCTATGAGGATAATGGAAAGAGAGAAATGTTGTAGTGAACTGGTCAGTGTTATTGTTCGTAATGTAATTTATATTTTACTACGAGAGGAGGAGGGGGAGGGGGGGAGGGGGAGGGTTTAGCTTGGCTTAGGTTAGCTTAAGTTAGTCATATTTGCGAAAAATGAAAATGAGGAGGTGACTCGATGCTTGTGAAAGGTTCTTGGTCCAAGGGATTGGATCTATTTTATTCTTAGCTGTATCAAACCTGTTTACCTTTTATTTTCTAGGCAATGCAAGGTGCGGAGTGCGCGTGCGCACACACGCACGCGCACACACACACACACACACACACACACACACACACACACACACACACACACACACACACACACACACACATACACACACACGCGCGCGCGCTAGAGATCACCCACAGAATCACTAATCACACTATCCAACAACCTCCTATCTCCCTGTCCTCTCACCACACCCCCACTGCAAATTCCCCTTTTCTCTCGTTACCACCTCCCGAACTCTATCTCAGGTGAACGTAACAGACGTGAACGACAATCCGCCGTTCCTGTCAGCGCCGCAGGAAGTGCAGGTGGAGGAGAACGCTCCCCCTCAGCTGCTGGCAAGGGTCAAGCTGGGTGACCCCGACGACTGGAGACAAGGTCATGGGCCTCCCTTCTCCATAGCGCTTGACCCTCACGCCCCAGCACACGTCTCAGACGCTGTCGACGTCCAGTTTGACAGACGTAAGTAAACTGCACCCAGACGGAGGAGCTAGAGAGAGAGAGAGAGAGAGAGAGAGAGAGAGGGGAGGGGAGAGCACATGGGGAACGCTGATAGTAAAAGGCTCTTCGGTTTCCATTGAGGTTTTAGCAAAGAACTATTTGATCTAGTAATCTACTATTACTAGATTTTTGAGGCAATGGGAGTAGAGTGTAGATAGAGAGAGAGAGAGAGAGGAGAGAGAGAGAGAGAGAGAGAGAGAGAGAGAGACTTGTATGTCTCATAATAAAAATGCTTTCAAATGAGCTGATGTAGGTAACAGCTCTTAGCTTGCCAATAAAGTTAGGAATCCTTAACCTTGTCAAACCCTGTTTAAAAAAAAAAGAGAAAGAAAGACCCAACTAAACATAGAAACCAGTATAAGAGAGAACATGAGAGAGAGAGAGAGAGTCGGAACATGCAGCTCGTGCACGAAGGTTAGAGGTCGCTCAGCAAATGGAGTCAGAAATCAATCAGAAAAAAAAAAGATAAGTGATCCAGTGTTTCCCATTAACCACTTTCTATTTATCATTTAATTATTATTTATGATGTAGTTGGTTATTTGTCTATCATATTTTACACTAACAGTTTCAAAGATGCTGCAGGTATCAACACTTAAGAATAATTAAGTAGGTACGAGAAAGGTATTCTGAGCACAGAACATATACACTAGAATTTGTTCACAATCAAGGTCCAGATTCAAGACATATTTTTAGTCGCAACTATTATAGTCATATGTTGGTCCAGGAATGATCGAAGCGTCGTCTGAGGATTTACCGCTTAATTTATGGAGTAAATGTGAAGTGTTCCAACTCTAGAATGTGAAGCACATTTTTCATAATATTTGTGATGCTTGGAGTTGTTAATGAATACTGAGTACAGTGGTTGGAGGATCGAGCCTCCGGGCAGTCCTTGCTTTGAATAACCCACACGGCTTTAGCGCATCACATTAAAAATTATGTGAATATTTATCCCTTGTAAGCATGATGGAGAAGTGCTAGTTAGGTTAGGTACCGTGATGATACGGTCCGTGAGTCAGCTTATGTGAGTTGGATTTTGAAACGCCACAGTGTTGAGCCTGATCCGGGAATGAAGGGGCGGAGCTGAAGGGCTGTAGGTAGGCCCCCCCTCAAGGAAGGTTCCTTGATGTTGGTGAGGGGCTCTTGATTTAGGGAATTGGATCTGTGCTCCAGTTCCCCGAATTAAGCCTGAATGCCTTCCACATCCCCCCCCCCCAGGCGCTGTATAATCCTCCGGGTTTAGCGCTTCCCCCTTGATTATAATAATAATAATGTAGGTAGGCCTAATTTTGTTATCAAATTACAATATGGGGGGAAAATATACCACGCCTTTGTTGTCCTCAGTAGGGACTCTAAAGTGCCACATTAATGCATTGTGGTCTATTGTTGAGGGGAAACTTACAAAACACTCATTCCCCCCCCCTCTGTCTCTGTCTGTCTCTCTCTCTCTCTCTCTCTCTCTCTCTGATTCAACGAGTGTTACGGATTTACTTGAGTACAACCTCCAGTGTTTATCCTACCAAGGGCTCCTCATAAACACATTTCTCCTTGATTGTGTACTTTTGTCTCAGTCATCAGTGCTCAGCCCTCAGAGTTCAGTTCTCAGGGCCCCAGTATTGGTTACTCTAAAATAACTGTCCTCTGCCTATTTATATAATTGTGCGATAGTTATGTAATCACTATAAGGTGTAATGTTGAAGACTGGATAAGTTTAAATTTTAGCTAATGGAGAATCGCTAAATGGCTAATTTCTCTGTATTGTTGTAGGTATGTTCATTTAATGAAGCAGGTGTATGTGCAAAAATTATTAGTATCCCGTTCTTGAAATATTACCCAAATAACATCAGCGTAAGTGATTAAGAATAAAAGCTAATTGAGACGGAATCCACCTCACCCACTACTAATAATTACAGAGAGAGAACATTAATGCGTAGATATATTTAGAACCGGAGTTACTTGCAGTTTCCTCCAGCTCTGCGTAGCCAGAGTTACTTTCGGTTTCTTCCAGCTCTGCGTAGCCGGAGTTACTTGCGGTTTCCTCCAGCTCTACGTAGCCAGAGTTACTTGCGGTTTCCTCCAGCTCTGCGTAGCCAGAGTTACTTTCGGTTTCTTCCAGCTCTGCGTAGCCGGAGTTGCGGTTTCCTCCAGCTCTACGTAGCCAGAGTTACTTGCGGTTTCCTCCAGCTCTGTGTAGCCAGAGTTACTTTCGGTTTCTTCCAGCTCTGCGTAGCCGGAGTTGCGGTTTCCTCCAGCTCTACGTAGCCAGAGTTACTTGCGGTTTCCTTCAGCTCTGCGTAGCCAGAGTTACTTGCGGTTTCCTCCAGCTCTGCGTAGCCGATGTCAATTGGGATTTCCTCCAACTCTGCGTAGCCGAGCTACATGTGGTTTTCTCCAACCGTGCGTAGCACGCTTGGTTGCCGTGGCTGCTTTGATGATAACTTTCGCGTTTCAGGTCCATTCACCGTCGTCTTGTCTGAGAAGAAGTGTGGACGTTTCACAGTATTCATATTTATGGGTAAGCGCTAAGCCCGTAAGGGTTATAACAGTGACTGGGCAGTTGGAGATAATCAGGTTTAGTAAAAAAAAGGGGGGGGAAGTAGCTCCAGTTTCTTGAATCAAGAGCCCTTCATCAACATCAAGACATCACTTTTGAAGGAATAGTTTATAATTTCCTTCCCTCAACTTGCACATGGTATGTACACAAGAGTTATGAAATAATCGCGAACAAGCGAGACAAGATGAAAAACCACCACGGGGAGGGGGGAGGATGTATGTAAATGTCCAGGGTTTATTACCTGGACCTCAGCAATGAGAGTCTCTACTCTCACCGCTGGGCAACGGCAACCAGTGCCCACGGGGGGAAGGGGGGAGAAGGATGATAGCTCTAAGCCTAGCTAAATTCTAGCTAGAGACGTTCCTTTGAACGAATCTACCTAGACTTCATACTCATTTTTGCAACATTGCAAGCTCCTGATGATGTTGATTGCAACACGAAAGGCCTATAGATTCCATTCAACTCCAGCTCCCCCCCCTGGTTGTTTTGCATACACAAGAGTATATATGCTGGGTACTTTACTGAGAGTTTAATCCCTATTTTAGAGATAAACGTTATCTTGACTGGTTTTATACAAGTGAAATGAAGCCTCAGTGGCACTCGTGCAGTCGAAGGTTGTAAATCTAACACACCAACCAACCTCACCCTGCAGGAGGCGACGAAGGAAGAGGCGTGGGCGTGGTGTGGACCAGGGCGGCACTGGACAGGGAGGAGAGACGAGTGGTGTTGGTGCCACTGGTGGTGGGGGACGCTGGTTCTCCACCACTGTCTACTACCGTCACCCTCACCGTCCACGTCGCTGACCTCAACGACAACCCCATGGCTCCGGCGGCTAAGACAACCACCGTCCACACTGTCCGGGTGGGTAGCAGGTTGGAATAGTTATTTTAGCAAGGTTATATACATCCGCAGTGTGAGACTTCTTATTCCATATCCATATGATGATTACTCCGCGTTAATCAAAGTTAGATGAGACTGATAAATTAAACACATGTACAACACTTGGGTATCTTTTCTGTGGAAACGTTTCGCCACACAGTGGCTTCATCGGCCAAATACGAAGAAGAATGGTGAAGATCAGAAGGAGTTTGAGGTAATCAAACTTTCGCTTGTCGCTACTAGGTCCACTGTATGTGTTAGCTACCATTTTGTCCTAGGCACATGTCGATACGACACTAGGCCTGTTGTGGTGTGTGTGTGTGTGTGTGTGTGTGTGTGTGTGTGTGTGTGTGTGTGTGACACCACTGTCTCTTAAGATGAAAGGTAGAATTGTTTCTCCCTCGTTCATCACTAACACCCCACTCAGCTCACCCGTTCCTTCCACGTTAACAATATTCCTCATCAACTCCTGCCACCACAGCCGCAGAATACCCCGGTGCCCCTTGGTCGCGTATACGTGAAGGACCCCGACGACTGGGACGCAGCATCCAAGATCTACGCCTGGAGACGACACCATCCCAGCTTCTCTCTAAACACGACGACGGGGGATCTCACCATGATGCCTGATACCAGAGATGGCAGGTAGGTCGTCTTCACTTGTTGCAGGTAAAGTAGGGAGATGGAGATTCAGGCTCCTGAAGTGTATGGGAACGATGGAGAAGACTTCTAGCTTAATGAGGACAACGTGTGTTTCTAGCATAATGAAGACAGCGTGTGTTTGTAGTATTATGAAGACAATGTGTTTCTATCATAATGAAGACGACATGTGTTTCTAGCATAAAGAAAATAACGTGTGTTTCTAACAAGACAACGTGTGTTTCTAGCATAATGAAAACAACGTGTGTTTCTAGGATAATGAGATAGGTGTTAAGACTAAGGTTTACGGGACAATAAGGATTGGAATCTCTGGACAGACAGGTAAGTGAGAATTGTATGTGTTGTTGTTAATTTTGAGGTTCTGATTTGTGTTGACGGGTGAAACCATTATGTATTGCATAACACTATGTGTAGCAGTGGTCATACTTGATATAAAGTTTCTGGAAAATTTCAAAGAAAATCGCGGCTTCCATAATCTATATCTTTCCTTAATATCACTCCTTCCTTGCATCACCATCTCCCTGCCTTTACTCTTCCCTCCCGCTAAATCTTTCATCCCTCCTTCCCTTTTCCCTCTTCCTTCCACATCCTCTCTTTCCTCTCTATACTTTCACTCTTTTTTTCTTCCTTTTGCTTCTCCTCTAGCTCTTCTCCTTATGCTCAAGATATCATAATTCAAACTCGCAGAAGTCACCACTCTCGAGGACGTCTACAAACCGCAATAATCGAGCTGTTTTCAATTGAAGCGTAACCCGAGCGAGAATATTGGTCTACTGGGGCTTTTATTTGTTCTCAAGACTCGCATTAATCGACGTAATGGGTGCTTGACTCCGGGAAATTGGTTCACAGCAGTGTAGTGGTTATTCATTCCGTATGATAGCAAGATGATTGAGATGATTGGAATCTCTCTCTCTCTCTCTCTCGCTGCTGCTGCTGCTGCTGCTGCTGCTGCCGCTGCTGCTGCTGCTGCTGCTGCTGCTGCTGCTGCTGCTGCTGCTGCTGCTGCTGCTGCTGCTGCTGCTGCTGCTGCCGCCGCCGCCGCCGCCGCCGCCGCCGCCGCCGCCGCCGCCGGTCTGATGTTATTTTGCCTGTCCGTCTATTTCTCTTGGCTTGCCCAGCAGTACCGTTCTTTCTCAAGTGTGTGAATCTGCTGATATATATATATATATATATATATATTATATATATATATATATATATATATATATATATATATATATATATATATATATATATATATATATATAATGTCGTGCCGAAAAAATAAAACTTGCTACTTTGGTTTAAATAGCAATGCACTTCATGCCGAACAGGACAAGCGGAAATTTGTGTATGCAATAATTTCGCAAACGCCATTCTGAATCTAACGAAAAAAAATATTTCATTGTGTTTGTTTACTATTAAATTATTGTAAACTTACATAAACTATATTTAGTTGGGTTAGCCTAAATTAAATTGCGCTTGTTATAATAAGGTTACGTAAGTTCCTTAAGGTTCTTTTGGTAAAACATCATTAATTTTATACCAAAAGAACCTTACGAAGGGACTTAATTTTAAACGAGTTCTTGCTTGGCTGGGTGCGTCATTTTTGTAGGATTACGTGGTCCTGTGGGTTAGAGCGTCATGTGTTTTTCCTCACTATGAGGCGGGCCAAAGCAGCATGGGTTCGAGTCCTTGGCTAGTCGCAGTGTTTATATATATATATATATATATATATATATATATATTATATATATATATATATATATATATATATATACACGCACACACACAATAGCATCGTTGCTGTTTGGCAGTAGTTCCAGTTATATATTCAGGTTCAGTATTTCTTTTCTGTGAAACTTAAGTGGAAGTTATATATCAACTGGTATTTCCCAATGTTTTTCCGTTATTCTTTTTTTTAATGGTAGTGTGACGTGGGAGTATATATACTTTACGAACCTTACATCATCTGCAGTTAAATGCTATCTCGATGTACACCAAAAGCCTTCTGTTTTTTGCTCTTTCAATGTATAGTTTCTCTCACTCTGTCCCCCTACTTTTGGTAACGTTAACGCAGTGGTGGAATTTGAGGGATTTATACCAATACTGTTTGGCATGAATCCTCTCTGTTCCGGGATGCGGGTCACTCTCTCCATAGGACGCTTGTTTGACCCAGAGCATGTTTTTTTCGGCGAAAAATGATGGGAATATATCTTTTTTATCTAAATATGCTGTGACATAGGAATATTGACTTAGACCCGAATTGTGGTTATGGTTTTGGGAACGTAAATAATTTACTTCGATATGTTTTTGCTTGCTTAAAAGGAATGATTTTCAAAATGACAATAAATCAGTCCCAGTAGCAGCAGATTGATAATGATAGTACGAAATTGATGATGATGTTGCTAATGTTTACGTTACAACGCTAAATAGGCTTATTAATTTGAGGGTTTTTATATTATATATAGGATTTTAAGTCAGTAGAATGACTTTTTCGACTCTCTTTTTTTAGGTATGAGTTGGGATTCACAGTGAGCGATGCCAGCCAAGGTCAGTCAGGGGTCATGGCCAACGTGTCAGTCGAGGTCAAATCTCTGAGCCAGCGTGATGTCATCGATGCCACGCCTCTCACTCTGGCTGCTGACCCCTACCACGTGGTCAGGGAGGATGCTGAGGTGAGGAAAGGGAGAGAAGAGAGATAGTGAGTAAAGGAAAATGTTTAGTGAAATTGAAAACACAGAGAGAGAGAGAATGTATGTGTGTGTGTGTGTGTGTGTGTGTGTGTGTGTGTGTGTGTGTGTGTGTGTGTGATGGACACTGAGGGGAATAAGAGATGTGAGAGGGTGAAGAGAAAGGGGGAATTTAGCTAGAAATAGAATGAAAGAGATAGAATAAATAATGAGGAAAGAATATAAAGTTTAGAGAGGGTTTAGGAAGAGATAGAGATAGAAACACATATACAAATGTAGGAGAGTAGTTACACAAAAACTGACAGAGGGAAGGATTTGTGGAGACACGTAGAAAACACATTTAAAAATTGCATTTCTCAAACTAAAATAGCTGGAGAAAACCCAAGGAAATATATCATTCATAAGAATCTTGCTTTTTTGTCTGCTACAGGGAGGTACGTCCATACTGACCCAGCTGGTGGTGGCGGCGCGGGCGTGGGTGAAGGGCAGCGATGTGGGCGTGAAGGCTGTGTCAGTGCAGCCCCTAGAGACCACGCCCACGCCCTCCACCCGGGTATGGCTCTCCTCCCCTGGGGTCCCAAACCTACATCATATCCTCCTCCACCGTAAGGATGAGGTCAGTCAAGGATAGACAGTTGAGTAGTGCTGTGTATTACTGCATTTTCACACATTCCCCAGGCCTGTATGACTTTTACGGATTAAGTGCTTACCCGTAAATGCGACTTAATAATCATGGGTTTTCTATCTCGTCTACAGCTTGGTCATGCTGTGGGTGTAAGCATAACGGAGGTAGGCGTAGGCCCATGCCAGGAAGAGCAACAAGAGACGACACAGATGCCTAGCTGCCTGGGAGGATGCTCAGCGCAGGCTTCCCTTACTGGGGGTTTCACCGTTGTGGATGCCAACACGTCGGCTGTGGTGGGGCCTTGGGTGGGTGTTCATAGCGGCTGCGGCTGCAGCACAAGAACCCCTGCTGACCGCACTGTCTGTTCTGCAGAGACCTGTCTCAATGGTGGCCGCTGCATCCCTACCTCCACTGGTACCAGGTGTGGCCGGCGTCCTGTACAGAGATGCTCAAGAGTGAAAATCACAGTTCCATGGCTAGAACAATTCATAGCTAATCCATAAATGGGGAAATAAAAATTAAATGACGTCTTAGTTCATCGAGAACTGTCTGATACGTCGTATTATATACAGTTCCATTTCTGACTCTTAGTAAGGCTGGAAGGCCTAGAAATGCGAAACGTTTATTATGGTAATATTTCCCTCAAGTAGAACTTGATAAAGCTCTCCTAGAACGAAACTTTATCATAATGAATTCTTACACTGCTCTAAGTATCATTGAATTACTAGTAACAATACTTTGCTTAGCTTCAATAAGTATTCCAAGTACAAGTAACTCTGCACCGCGTTTTTTCTAATACATAAAGGTCATGCATACATAAATCACTGTAGGTAAGCGCACGTGGTTGGCTTTCTGGCTATTACTTACTGTGATCAAATAAGCTCAACTTACGTTGTCATTAGGCAAACCTACTTAAAAAATCTTTATTCAAGTTTTATTATATATATATATATATATATATATATATATATATTATATATATATATATATATATATATATATATATATATAATATATATATATATATATATATTATATATATATATATATATATATATATATATATATATATATATATAATATATATATATATATATATATATATATATATATATATATATATAATATATATATATATATATATATATATATATATATATATATATATATTATATATATATAAACAATGATCGTTTATCAAAATTTTCCTTCTGCCTGACTCCTTCTAGATGTGTATGTCCACACGGCACACAGGGTTCCAGGTGTAAGATCCTATCCAGACACTTCGAGGGCGGGGGAGGCGTGAAAGACAGCGGGGGCAGAGAAGACGACTCCGTGGGCGGGTGGGCGTGGGTGCCGTCCATCCCGCCCTGTACTGAAGTCCACCTGAGCTTGGAGTTCCTCACGAAGTCCAGAGACGCTACGATCCTGTATTCAGGCCCCGACCACCTTCCACCGACCCCTGGCACACCCAGCGACGTGGTGGCACTCGAACTGAGAGGAGGTCGGCCGTCTCTTCTGTTGGATTTGGGTGCTGGTCCTGCCACTCTCACTCTCAATGCTTCAGACTCTCTCGCGGACCACACCTGGCACAGACTCGACCTTATATGGAGGAGTGAGGTGCGTCTTTCTCTCTCTCTCTCTCTCTCTCTCTCTCTCTCTCTCTCTCTCTCTCTCTCTCTCTCTCTCTCTCTCTCTCTCTCTCTCTCTCTCTCTCTCTCTCTCTCTCTCTGTCTCTCTCTCTCTCTCTCTGTCTCTCTCTCTCTCTCTGTCCCTAGACAGAGAAGGGGAGAAAAGTAAGCTTTAATGAAATATAACAACTTTAGCCATTAGTTTCAATGAGAAACAGTTGGAAGCGAAGGATGAATTCAATTACTCGCGAACTACGTTCAACAAAAATTGACAACAGGAAAGCAGGGTCTAGAATATAACGATGGAGGGAAGAAGACTGGAGAGTGCCACTTAAGACTTTAATTGAAAGAAATTGGTGTTGAGTGCGGGGGAGTCTGACTGTGTGTGTGAATGTGTGTGTGTGAGATAGAGACAGGGAGGGAGGGAGAGAGAGAGTTATAGCACTAAAAATATGGCATTGAGATTAAACGACAGGATTGTACGAGACCGAAAACATGGCAGATTTTGCAATGAAAACTGCAGAAGGAAATCCTGGGATGCGCGCCCCCCTCAGGCAAGGAAGAAATTCCTATTATTTTACTGTAAAAGTGAAGCTTCTACACATGTAATGAAGAGAGAAACGTTAAGTAACACTTGGTACGCTTCATTATAGGTATGTTAGGTTAGTGTTCTCACAACCTGGACGTCAAAGTTAAACTTTTTTTGATTCACCTTTTCAAAAAAAAAAATAAAAAAATAAAAATAACCCCTCAAGGAAGGTTCCTTGATGTCGGTGAGGGGCTCTTGATTTAGGGAATTGGATCTGTGCTCCAGTTCCCCGAATTAAGCCTGAATGCCTTCCACATCCCCCCCCAGGCGCTGTATAATCCTCCGGGTTTAGCGCTTCCCCCTTGATTATAATAATAATAATAATAATCAAAAAATAAATCTCAAGAGTTTTCACGAAATAATAATAATAACTTTTTATTACTCTTATTATCATTTATTATCATTATTATTATTCACGGGAAGCACTAAACCTGTGAGTGTCATAACAAAACTGGGCAATGGGAGGTTATCAGGCTTTTTATGTAAAATGAAAAAGGTAACTCCAATTCCTGGAATAAAGAGCCATTTACCAGCATCAAGGGGCGTCTCGAAGCAACAGTCATGAATAACTATTGAAACTTAATTAATATGGAATTTATTAAGAGTGTGTGTTATTATAGCGTTGGAACGTAACGTTAACTCATTCCCAGAACGCTTACGAGCTATGTTTTTCCTTCTAATTCCTAAATGATAGGTATAGCCTCCGAAGCTTTGATAGTGTGAAAACATGACGAAAGCGCTTGGAACTAACCTTTTTTTCATGTGTTTTGTATATTGTAATGTATTTTACTTTTATTGGAAGAATGAGGTTAGAGGACTTGTGTTCGGATGTCTCTGTAAATCTAAAGTTAGGTTAGTCAGTTCAAAGTTAGGTCATTTTGAGGAGTTAATCAGCTTAAGGAAAGTTAATTCGAAGACCATAGATGTTATCTAGGCTAAGAAAATCTTGTTAAATAATATATTCAAAGGATGATGAGGCTGTATTTACTGAACTGAAATCTCGTACACAAGTTGTCTCACTACCCAGCTGGTGGAACTGATCGTGGACCTGTGTGCGGGCGGCACCCTCGACCTCCCGCCCATTCCCTCCACTCGGCCCGCCCATAACCACTCGGATGCACCCACGCCCTCTCCGCCCATCCCTCCCGATCCGCATACCTGCAGGGGCAGTGCCCGACTCCCGGCGGGGGCACACCTCCTAAATACCCCACATCCGCTACAGGTTGGAGGGCTGGCTCACCCTCCGCCCTCCCACACGGCTTATGGGTGGCCGTCACCTCTACTGCCGCGGCCCTTCCTAGGCTGCATCAGGAACCTCAGAATAAACGGAGAGGTGAGTGTTCCTAATTATTACTTTGCATATTATATATATATATTATATATATATATATATATATATATATATATATATATATATATATATATATATATATATATATATGTATATATATATATGTATATATATATATATATATATATATATATATATATATATGCAATAAGATCACAGTAAACAGGTGATTTCAGAATATGCAAAACAACCACTGTGAAAGAATAGAGAAATTCCAAGCGCTGTCGTGACTACTCACATTATCAAGGAACAATAAAAGTAATGCATCAAAGGAAGGCATATAAAGGGTCTAGACCACCACACCTCACAATCACATCCCAAAACAAAGCAACACCTGACGCGCGACTCATAAGAAAGAGAACACTGCAGCAGACCCGCTGGCCCAACTAGACAGGTCCTTCACACAACCCACAAACTATTCTACCCAAGAATTAAGAATTTTAAAATTTATTATTTGTCAAGTATATTATTAAATTCTTCCCAAATTCCATTAATTATAAATAGATCTAATTTATATAAACCAAAGGAAATATTCATATTATTGTCAAAACTGCTTTTTATGAAACAAGATTCAATTATATTCCTGTCGACCATGGACTTGCTTGATACAACTTTCTCAACTTTTTGAAAATCAATTGGATGGTTAAAATCTCTCACATGAATAAATAGAGCATTAGAATCTTGTCCAGTTCTAATGCTATATTTATGTTGTTTTAATCTTAGTTCGAGACTTTTACCAATTTGACCGTAATAAACTTTATCGCAAATTTTACAAGGAATCTTATAGACATCCGTCAGCATTTTGGGGGGAATTCTTTGTCAAAAGTTTTTTTACTGCATCAAGATTTTTAAATACAACTTTGATATTAAAAGTCTTAAGAAGAGAAGGCATATCAACCAAGTTTTCATGGTAAGGGAGAACCAACATATTTTTAGTTGAATAAGGTTGGTTGTCCCTTTTTGGATTGTAAAATGTATTTCTAGCAATTTTACCCCTCAAGGAAGGTTCCTTGATGTTGGTGAGGGGCTCTTGATTTAGGGAATTGGATCTGTGCTCCAGTTCCCCGAATTAAGCCTGAATGCCTTCCACATCCCCCCCCCCAGGCGCTGTATAATCCTCTGGGTTTAGCGCTTCCCCCTTGATTATAATAATAATCTAGCAATTTTAAAAGATTTATCAATTACGTTTCTTGAGTAATTGGAATTTCTCTATTCTTTCACAGTGGGTGTTTTTTTTTTTTTTTTTTTTTTTTTTTTTTTTTTTTTTTTTTTTTGCGCACGCGCGCGCGCGCGCACACACACACACACACACACACACACACACACACACACACACACACACACACACACAGAAAGGGCAGAGGGGGAGGTGAGGTTGCTCTGCTCCTAAAAAACAGATGGAAATTCGAGAAAATAGAAGGCATAGATGAGACGGGAGAGACTACATAGTAGGTACACTTCAGTCTGGGGAACACAAGGTGGTCATTGCAGTGATGTATAATCCACCACAGAACTGCAGGAGGCCAAGAGAGGAATATGAAGAGAGCAACAGAGCAATGGTGGACACACTTGCTGAGGTGGCAAGAAGAGCTCACTCCAGCAGAGCAAAGTTGGTGGTTATGGGGGATTTCAACCACAGGGAGATTGACTGGGAAAACCTGGAGCCACATGGGGGTCCCGAAACATGGAGAGCCAAGATGTTGGACGTGGTGCTGGAAAACCTCATGCACCAACATGTTAAGGACACTACCAGAGTGAGAGGGGAGGATGAACCAGCAAGATTGGACCTTGTGTTCACCCTGGGCAGCTCAGACATTGAGGACATCACGTATGAGAGTCCCCTAGGAGCTAGCGACCACGTGGTTCTGTGCTTTGAATATATAGTAGAGCTGCAAGTGGAGAGAGTAACAGGAGTTGAATGGGAAAAGCCTGACTATAAAAGAGGGGACTGCATAGGGTTGAGGAACTTACTGCGGGAGGTCTCGTGGGACAGAGAACTGGCAGGAAAGCCAGTAAACGAAATGATGGAATATGTAACAACAAAATGCAAGGAGGCAGTGGAAAGGTTTATTCCCAAGGGCAACAGAAACAACGGGAAGACCAGAACGAGCCCCTGGTTTACCCGACGGTGTAAGGAGGCAAAAACAAAGTGCAATAGAGAATGGAAAAAGTACAGAAGGCAGAGAACACACGAAAATAGGGAGATCAGTCGCAGAGCCAGGAACGAGTACGCACAGGTAAGGAGGGAGGCCCAGCGACAGTATGAAAATGACATAGCATCGAAAATCAACACTGACCCGAAACTGTTGTATAGCCACATCAGGAGGAAGACAACAGTCAAAGACCAGGTGATCAGATTAAGGACAGAAGGGGGAGAACTCACAAGAAATGATCAGGAGGTATGTGAGGAGCTAAACAGGAGATTTAAGGAAGTTTTTACAGTAGAGACAGGAAGGGCTGTGGGAAGACAGCACAGAAGGGAACATCAAGAGGGAATATACCAACAAGTGTTGGATGACATACGAACAACCGAGGAGGAGATGAAGAAGCTGCTAAGTGACCTTGATACCTCAAAGGCGATGGGACCGGACATCTCCCCATGGGTCCTTAGAGAAGGAGCAGAGATACTGTGCGTGCTTCTAACCACAATCTTCAACACATCCCTTGAAACTGGGCAACTACCTGAGAAATGGAAGACAGCAAATGTTGTCCTCATATTTAAGAAAGGAAACAGAAACGAGGCGCTAAACTACAGACCTGTGTCTCTGACATGTATTGTGTGCAAAGTCATGGAGAAGATTATCAGGAGGAGAGTGGTCGAACACCTTGAACGGAACAAGATTATAAATGAAAACCAGCATGGGTTCATGGAAGGCAAATCTTGTATCACAAACCTCCACGAGGTTTATGACAAGGTAACAGAAGTAAGACACGAGAGAGAGGGTGGGTTGATTGCGTTTTCCTAGACTGCAGGAAGGCCTTTGACACAGTTCCCCACAAGAGATTAGTGCAAAAGCTGGAGGATCAGGCGCATGTAACAGGGAGGGCACTGCAATAGATCAGGGAATACCTGACAGGGAGGCAGCAACGAGTCATGGTACGTGAAGAGGTATCACAGTGGGCGCCTGTGACGAGCGGGGTCCCACAGGGGTCAGTTCAAGGACCAGTGCTATTTTTGATATATGCGAACGACATGATGGAAGGAATAGACTCTGAAGTGTCCCTATTCGCAGATGATGTGAAGTTGATGAGAAGAATTAAATCGGATGAGGATGAGGCAGGACTGCAAAGAGACCTGGACAGGCTGGACATGTGGTCCAGAAACTGGCTTCTCGAATTCAATCCTGCCAAATGCAAAGTCATGAAGATTGGGGAGGGGCAAAGAAGACCGCAGACAGAGTATAGGCTAGGTGGACAAAGACTACAGACCTCACTCAGGGAGAAAGACCTCGGGGTGACCACAACACCGAGCACATCACCGGAGGCACACAACCAAATAACTGCTGCAGCATACGGGCGCCTGGCAAACCTGAGAATAGCGTTCCGATACCTTAATAAGGAATCGTTCAAGACACTGTACACTGTGTATGTTAGGCCCATACTGGAGTATGCAGCACCAGTCTGGAACCCACACCTGGTCAAGCACGTCAAGAAGTTAGAGAAAGTACAAAGGTTTGCAACAAGGCTAGTCCCAGAGCTCAGTGGAATGTCGTACGAGGAAAGGTTGAGGGAAATCGGACTGACGACACTGGAGGACAGAAGGGTCAGGGGAGACATGATAACGACATACAAGATACTGCGGGGAATAGACAAGGTGGACAGAGATAGGATGTTCCAGAGAGGGGACACAGGAACAAGGGGTCACAACTGGAAGCTGAAGACTCAGACGAGTCACAGGGACGTTAGGAAGTATTTCTTCAGTCATAGAGTCTTCAGGAAGTGGAATAGCCTAGCAAGTGAAGTAGTGGAGGCAGGAACCATACATAGTTTTAAGAAGAGGTATAATAAAGCTCAGGAAGCAGAGAGAGAGGGGAACTAGTAGCAATCAGTGAAGAGGCGGGGCCAGGAGCTGAGTCTCGACCCCTGCAACCACAATTAGGTGAGTACAATTAGGTGAATATACACACACACACACACACACACACACACATGATATATATACATATATATATATATTATATATATATATATATATATTATATATATATATATATATTATATATATATATATATATATATTATATTACATACATATACATACAGTGTTCCACTCAGCTCTGATGAGCCTCACAGCAAGAGTAAAACAGGGTAATAGGTACATAGAGGAATTAATTATTCACAGAAACACTTAGCATTCGACGCGCTGATATTTTTGTTTTCGTCGTGATAATTTTTATGCTGTTTTCCAGCTAAGTGTTTTAATAGTGTGTGAACTTGTGAACCCAACTGTTGGTACTTGTTGACCAAGCTGACTGTTTTGTGTCACTTGTTAAAAACATGCGTTACGTTCCTAGATATACTGACTCAGCTAAATGGCTCAGGGTAACATAGTTTTGACCTTGGTTTCATGACCTTGGTGTCATGACGGGCAGTAAGTTACTCTGGAAGATACACCTGCACTTATTGTAAATATTCTGAAAAAATCGAACTTAACTTTACTGAAATGCACTTATCCAGGTCATTAAAAATTTGACGTCCTCTTTTATTCCTGTTAGGTTCTACTTTGCTGATCCACGTGATCCAATTTTTCAAATAAACTTTATTTCTTTCTGCAGTATACAAAATGTAGTTTACATGGTAATAAAATTTTGAAAGCCACTAACATGTGTTTTGCCCCTATTGATCCACCTGGCTTTTTTTGTGATCCCTTCACCAGCTGATTGACTTGGGACAGGAGGTTCTACATCAGCGAAGTTCTCCAGGATGTCCAGCTGTTGACTGTGCTGCTCGTGGCCTCACCTGTGGCATCCACGGCAGGTAAGCGGTGTGGCCAGTGTGGCCACCTGGTATGGCCATGGCGTGTTGCCATGGGGGTGTGGCCATAGGAGAGGGTGAGTGGGTATGGTGGCTGGTTTTTAGTGAGATGCATTATCATATTGTGATGAATGGTTTGAAAAACCGACAAGTTGAAGATTGAGACACTTATGCAGCATATGAGAATCTTTATTCAGGAAACGTTTCGCCACACATTCTACAAGATTGATGGACTGAACACATCGACTCCAGGCTGAGGGACTGATTACCTCATACTCCACCTCTCCTTACGCCTTCCTCTTTGTATTGGATTGATGAAGCCACTGTGTGGCGAAACGTTTCCTGAATAAAGATTCTCATATGCTGCATAAGTGTCTCAATCTTCATTATCATATTAATGGGGAGTACTAGATCCGTAGAGGGAGACTATCTGATTCTATCCAAGAATGGGAAGAGGGAGCTTCAGTTCGCTGACATCGAGACATCTTCCTTGAAGGGTGCTATGAGGTGTGGCTGTGGGAGGTGTGACACTATAGTGAGTATTGCTGTGACAGGTGTGACACCACAGTGAGTGTTGTTGTTTCAGGTGTGACACCATAGTGTGGTCACCGTGAATGAGGTGGTCACAACTCCAACTAAATGTATTTCGGTGACTATGCGAGCCGAAGAAGTAGCCCTGCTGCCAGTGTTCTTTCTTATGTTCTTATGTAAGAAGGTATCCCCGTACTACATAACCCAGCCTCCTCTACCTCAGTGAACGCAAAATAACAGTAGTGTGTGTGTGTGTGTGTGTGTGTGTGTGTGTGTGTGTGTGTGTGTGTGTGTGTGTGTGTGTGTGTGTGTGTGTGTGTGTGTGTGTGTGTGAGATAAATTTTTATTGCCATTCAATTTCAGCGCTGAATTTATGAAGCCAAGGGACGCATGCATAAGTTATTATATAGAAACTTGCATCCCATAACAATTTCTTCAGTGAAATTGGCAAGTTAGCAGACGCAGTCAGTGAAAGAGAACATAAATTTAATACGATGAAATGCTTTTGATAGTTGATTGCCGGGTTTATTCAGATTAAATCCTATTGATTGCACAAGTGTCACTAACCATTCCCTGCCTGACCACGGTCGAGTGTGGTTGTGCTCTGCACCCCTCTGCTGTTTTTAGGCGAGCTCTCTTGTCAGTTACCTGGCTGCAGTGGTGTGAAGTGGTGCTGTCGCGTCTCTGCTGAAAATATAGGTGCACTGCGGTTGTCAAAATGGCGGTTAGTCTGAGACGCCGGATAAATACTGTCGGCATTGAGCTACTTCGAGGAACGATAGCGCCTAGTTCTGCGCAAGTCTTATTGCCAAAGATCATCCGGGAGACGTATGGCATACAAGATGGTGACTTGTATGGAGTAGCATTAAATGGAGGCCAAAGAACTTTCGTCAAACTGCTAACGGCAACGGTCTATGAATCGTTGGTCACCCGGTTTCAGGACGTGAGTCTTAACGTCACACGTTACCTTTGAGGCGGACGAGGCGGATATCAGGAAAGTTTTTGAGACGTATGGAACGGTGCATTATGCTCAGCATAGTACGTGGGTGGCAGGCGCCTATGCTGGTCTGCCAGAGGGTACTTTTAACCTCAAAATGACTTTGAGACACCCAATACCGTCCTATGTTTATCTACAAGAATTCAGGACGCAGGTTATGGTTATGTATCCAGGGCAACGACGTACGTGCCGCCTATGTGGTGAGTATGATCACATAGCGGCGACTTGTGACAAGCGGACGTCGCAGCCCCTGCTTCAAAGGTGGCAGGTGAGGAACAAACATCGGACGGAAGGCGTGGTGTCTTGTGGAGTGAAATAGTGTATCAGGCACACAGGACTGGCGGTGAGTTGGAGTCCCTCCCCCAGCTGCCTGACCCGGTGTCGCCTCCTTTGGATAAGGAGGAGCAGCAATTACAGGAGCAGGTTCTTGAGATTGAGGAGGAATTGGTCGAGGTTTTGAAGACTGTCACCGCCTGAGGGGGACGTTACATCTGAGCGAGGTGTCATTGGAGAGTCGTCGCTTCCAGAAAGTCGGGGACGTGATATTTTGGGACGTGATGGTAGTTTGGAGTCGTCCGTAGAATCACTAAACCATTCTCAGGTGGAGGTGGAGGTTCATCGAGAGGCGACATGTGTAACGTGACTGTCACGAGAAAGAGGGCGGCTACATCAGATTCTGATGACGTCCTAACGCCTGTACAAAGGCCTGGGAAACAGACTGAGGTGGAGTGTGAAGGTAGTGGTGTAGGTGGTGGTAGCCATGATAGGAGGCACCGGAAGAAGGGGGGGGGAAAGAGAGCACTCTGAAGGTGTCAAACATAAATTCAAGCTCAGGAGTTGTAAAGAGTGATGAGAGGAGGCAGGGGTGGAAACTTTAAAAGGCCTTAGGTGTATGACTGTAAATGTTAATGGGTTATGTAGCAGTATGAAGAGAGATTGGTTTCGTAATTTACTGAATAAATCTAGAGTGGATGTTGTGTTCCTGCAGGAGCACAATTTTAAAGAGGGTAGGGTGTTGGAGGTGACAGGATTTCTAGTAGTTACCCTGCCATCTCCCCGTCTAAAAGGTGGTGTGGGTATTTTAATAAGGGAGACGAGCCCGTTTGTTTTTCAGAGAAGCGAGGGGGGAGGGGGAGGGGGGGAGGGTGTTGCGTGTGGATGGGTGGTGGATGGGTAAGCGTGTGTCTTTTGTGAGTGTGTATGCGCCGGCGGAAAATAACATACAGGTAAAGAATGATTTTGTGTATGAGGATCTTGTGTTTTTCGTAAGGGCACTGCCAGAGGTGGCAATAGTTGGTGGGGACTGGAATAGTGTAATCAGGGTGGCTGATGTGGACCCAAAAGGGGCTGGATATATGTCTGTGGCTCTTAGGGAATTGTTAAGGGATGTCAGGTTACGTGATGCCTTGGGGGGGCGGTGTGGGAGACTGAATATACGTTTGTTAGGAGTGGATATGCGGCGAGACTAGATAGTGTACCTTTCTCAGGGAGTGGATGTGAAATCTTTCAGTACTGTTGAGGCTACAATGTCAGATCATAGGGCAGTGGTGGTGGAGGTTGGGTGGGGGACGCTCGCGGAAATATGTAGAAGTTATTGTAAATTAAATGTGTGTTAGGAGATGGGGGTTGAAGGGGTTTTCAGTCCTATGGAGGGAGCTTAGTGTGGAAGAACAGTTAGTGGATGACATCGTGACATGGTGAGATTGTGTTGCAAAGGAAAGGATTAGAAAGTTTTATGTGAGGGAAAGAAAACGTATTAATAATTTAAAATATGGACTGGCTAACTATTTAGAGGATAGGTTAAGAGGTTGCTATGGGCGGGGGGTGGTTGGGAATAATTTTCCTATGGATGAAATAGCTGAAATAAAGGGGAGGTTGAGGGTGTTGCAAAATGAAAGCTTTCAAGCTGTAAGGGTGCAGGCAGGGGTGGAAGAAGTGCTTTGGGGCGACAAGCCGTCGGCGTGTGTTTTGCGGCATCAAAAGCAAAGGCAGGCGGTGACAGCTATCCCATGTTTAGAGGTAACGGAGACGGTTGGGAATTATAGAGCAGGGCAGGAGATACGAACCACGAAGGGAATGTGTGCATATGCGGAGGCTTGGTATGAGAAGTACTGGACAAGTGGTGGGGTGGGTGACGTGGCGTTAGACAAGGTGTGTACGTATGTAACGTGTAATTTAGGAAACAGCGATAGAAAGGCTTTAGGTGGGATTATTACGGCAGAGGAAATAGAGAATGCGTTACGGGGAATAAGGAAGGAGAAAGCTCCGGGTATTGACGGTCTCCCGGTAGAATTTTATTTACAACATTGGAAGTTAATACGGGGATTTATAGTTAAGTTATTTAATCGTATGAAGGAGAAGGGTGAGTTGGGGGAGAAGCAGGCTACAGCAGTTGTAGTGATGGTCCCGAAGGGCAAGGGGCAGCCCACCCTACGGGAGTACCGAGCCATATCGCTGATGTGTGCAGACTATAAGGTTTTTGCAAAAATTTTAGGTAATAGGTTCAAATGTGTTGTGGGGAGGGTGGTGTTGAAATCTCAGTTTGGGTTGCCGGGAAGGTCGATGATTGAAGGACATGGGATACTGCGAAGTTTTGTGGAAGCTAAAGGTGGGGGTGGAGGGGCGGCTTTGTTGGCTCTAGATTGGCAGGGAGCATATGATAGTGAAAAGGGGAGCTTTGCAGGTTATACTTAGGAGACAGGGCTTTGGGGAGGAAATAGTCGAGTGGGTAAATACGTTGTACAAGGGGGGCGAAAATGAGGATACAGATTAATGGGTGTATGGGGAGGGAGATTAAAATGGGTAGAGGCCTTAGACAGGGATGCCCCATGTCCCAAATCTTGTTTGCGTGTTTTCAGGACCCCTTTTATAGAATGGTTGACCGTAGCTTATGTACTCCAGGTGAGGGAAGTGTAGGGGGTGGGAGGGCGTGGCCGGGATTAATTGGATATGTTGACGACACCACTGTTCTCATTCGTGAAGGGATGTCAATGGAAGTGTTGGACAAGGTTGTGCAATTATTTGGAAGTGCCACGGGAATGCAGGTAAATAGTGTGAAGTCAAGGTGCATGGGGTTGGGTTATTGGGTGGGGGGTGGTTGGGAGGGGGAGATGTAATGCTGTTAAAGAATGGGCGGTGTCTTTACAGATTTGTGGTATTATTTATAGGAATGACATGGTTGTAGGAATGTAGGTATAATATCGTAGGTTTTTTTTTATGTATTATTTTGATGTGTATCAGTCTTGCATGACACGATTCTTGAGTAATAAGTTCTTTGCGATATGAAGTGTGTTTTAGTTTGTATTTATGTTACGTGCTGGGTTTTTTGCATGAGATATACTTATATACTGTTCTTGCTTTGTGCATACAGTGCATCTGATTAATGTGATTTTGTGAAACATTTGTGTGTGTGTGTTGTGTGTGTGTTGTGTGTGTATCCCTTTCTATTGTATTGAGCCTTTGTCATGGGTCAGGTTTTATGTAAAACTTTATATATGTATGATTCGTTTCTTTTTAAAGTTTATAATTTAGGTCTGTACCCTGATACCGGTTTGGTGTCATTGCTAAGTTCTTGATGCTAAGTTGTAGTCTGTATGGTATACAGACATATCTAGCCAATTTAGAGACGCAGTCCATTTGTGTCTGAGATTTAGTATATGGGTTTATTGTAACAGTAATGTGCCTTCAGTTTTTGAGTTCTAAGCTGTTTTCTTTTTGTTTATTCGTATGTTGGTATATGTAAAGCTGTATTGTTAGGGATACGTATGTAGATGTTCTAGTAAGATTATGATGTTAGGTTTTGGTTTATTGATTAATGCGAAGGATGGGATTAATTGATACAAGTTCTAGTATATATTCTTTTCTAGTGTATTGAGCCTTTGTCAGATATCACATTATATGTAAAATTTATATATGTAAGGTTTTGAATCAAGAATGTGTATATATTTTAGTTCACGACCCTATGACTATTTCTTTGTAGCTATGTTCTTGACGTAAGTTATTGGTGTATGTTTTGCAGCAATATCTTGCGAGTATATAGGTGCAATCCGTTTGTCAGTTAATTTGTGTCGGGGTTTCTTTTTTTTTTCAGGATTGAGAGCCATCCTGTTTTCTTTTATTTTTTATTTTTATGTTAAACTGTATCGGTTTTAAATAAAATATATAAAAAAAAAGTGTCACTAAGGCTGAGTTTCTAGATTATTCTACCAGTCTAGAATATTATAATCGGTAAATCAAGTAAATCACTCTCTCCCCCTTTCTCTCTCTTTCTCTCTGCATTGTATATTTATATTTACAACGCACAATGCATCTTTCAGCGTACGAGTACTTACAATGGTGCTCTGACAGCCTAACTGTTAGTCTAACAAGGTACACTGAGTTAGGTCCACCAATCGAAAACAAGAGAGAGGTTGGTGTTTGAGTGATGTGCTGTGAGTGGCGGAATTTAGTCTGGTAACGTCAGTACAGACTGGAATGTTGTTGAACGAGGAGTCAGTCTCTCTCTCTCTCTCACATCTTAAGAAAATTGTTCTGAGAATATGTATGGTAAGGCTTTTACACCAGGAAAAACTATTTTCTTTATATAATTATATATGCTAAGAGTTTACTCAAGCCTTCGTTAAAGGAATTAATGCATTTTTTTATTGCGAGTGACCTAGGTTTATAATGACCCTAGTGCACTTAAGTTTAAACCTAATAAACTAGCTGGAATGTGACGCGACTTGCATATAAGTTTTCCCTGTAATGGCTTCCCAGTGTTCTGTGTAATAAGAAGTTGGATCTCGAGAAAAATTTTTGGTTGAATATTCAAGTTTTTCCAACTTAAATAAGATTTAATAAATTTAAGTGAACCTTCACTGACATCTTGTTTTGGTATTAATAGATGGACTGGTGGAGGTAATCTGGGATTTTGTTGCACTGTTTTAACCAGATTTTGTACACGCTTTATTTAAAAGAAATTGTCTGACATCTGACACACGCTCGGTGAGCTACAACACGGCTCCCACAGCGATGAGCTGCTACCCTCCTTCCCTGAGCTGAGCTCACTGAGCCCTTTACCTTGCCGATCCTCCCAGGACTGAGCCACACCGTATGTGTCACACCCTGTGCCACAATGAGCCTCAGTACCTAAAGGAACCTGAAGGATGTTTCCGGAGCTCTACAGTCCAGTACCAGACCAGACCGCCTGGTGATCAAATCCTGGTCAACTAGGCTGTTACTTTTGGCCACACGCAGTCCAACTTTGGAACCACAGCTCGACTGGTCAGGTACTAATTTGAAGAACTTGTCCAGTTCCCTTTTGAAACAGACAGAGGTTTGTTGGTAATTTCCCTAATGCACGGAGGGAGTGTGTTGGAGAGTCGGGGACCTCAAACACTAGCAAAGTTCTGTGTATTCATCTCGTCTCTCCAAAAAGAAAAAATGCTATCACTAGCAAAGTATTATATTTTGTTAAAAAAAAAGTCTGTGGTAATGAAAAGACCATTGAAAGTGTAGTTAAAACATGTATGTGATGCAACACACTAGTAAAAATGTCCGTGTTAAGCACATTTTCAGTGTAACTGAAGTTTCAGTGACCAACCTTACTGTCATTTGTCACCCAGATTAGTGTTGAGAATGTTTTTGTCGAGATTTTTCTGTACATCTCTCTGCTTCCTATTTTATCTATCTCCCCCCTTTAATCTCTCCTCTCATCCCTCTTTTTTTCCATACCCTCCTTTTTCTGCTTCCCTCCTCCTATTCCATGGTCACTTTCCCTCCTTTCTCACTCCGTCCGTCCGTCCCCTCTCTCCCTCCGCCCGTCCGTCCCCTCTCTCCCTCCGCTATTCCTCTCCTTCCATTCTATTTCCCCCCTCTTCTGTTTGCATAATCTCTTCCCTTTTCTTCCTCTCAATCCTTTTCATCTCTCCTTCTCTTCCCTTCTTACCTTACCCCGTTCCGCTCACTCCTATACTTTCACCCTCCCCCTTTTCTATCCTCTCTGCTGCCTTCTCTCCCCTTTCCTTCTTATTTGATTTTCTTTCTTTCCCTCTGCCCTGTTTAAGATGTCCTCATTATATTACGATATCTTTTGTCCTACACAAGTCTCCCAACTCAGGCTCATACGACACGTTGTATGAGTACTGTCCTGTGATGGAATATGACAGGGAAACAGAGCTAGCGTTTCTTCCCACTTGTGTAAATATTATATAGAATAGGATAGCAGCACGCTGCTGATGAATCCATTTTTTTTTTAAATTACACAAGAATAATCTTTCGACTCGTGCAGATATGTTTTGAAATAATGTAACCCATCCTGTGTGATGGAATAGGAGAGGGAAACCTAGCCAGGTCACGTTTTACACTAGGTAACTATCATTACAAATGTGGTAGCAGCACATTGCTGATATATCCATTCTTTTGGTAAACAAAGCGCGCTCTGTCCTTTCTTTCTCAGGCAAGTTAGGTTTGGTTAGGTTAGATTAGTCAGGAAACAGGACACGTGTTTCCTGATTCTGGTCTTAATCATACGATGACCCGCCGCTGAAGTTTTTGGTCATCTGAACGAGGTCTTCCACTGGCTTAACGGTCCACCCCCTTAAAAATTATAGTTATGATTATAATCGCTTAATTTTTTAACTCTTGCAGGTGCCAGGGCTCATCACGAAGCCTACGGTGCGAGTGTCATCCTGGGTGGTCAGGATCAGACTGTGCCACACCCACCACACCAACAACCTTTCTCCTCAACAGCTACGTCAAACTAGCACTCTCCTTTACCCCTCTCGCCTACACTACCACCGTCCACCTCAGGTTAGTGCCACACTACGGTCCACCTCAGGTTAGTGCCACGCTACGGTCCACCTCAGGTTAGTGCCACACTACGGTCCACCTCAGGTTAGTGCCACACTACGGTCCACCTCAGGTTAGTGCCACACTACGGTCCACCTCAGGTTAGTGCCACGCTACGGTCCACCTCAGGTTAGTGCCACGCTACGGTCCACCTCAGGTTAGTGCCACGCTACGGTCCACCTCAGGTTAGTGCCACACTACCGTCCACCTCAGATCAGTGCCACACTACCGTCCACCTCAGGTTAGTGCCACACTACCGTCCACCTCAGATTAGTGCCACACTACCGTCCACCTCAGGTTAGTGCCACACTACCGTCCACCTCAGGTTAGTGCCACACTACCGTCCATCTCAGGTTAGTGCCACACTACCGTCCATCTCAGGTTAGTGCCACACCACCGCCCATCACCTGGAGGTGCCACACCACCGCCCATCACCTGGAGGTGCCACACCACCGCCCATCACCTGGAGGTGCCACACCACCGCCCATCACCTGGAGGTGCCACACCACCGCCCATCACCTGGAGGTGCCGCACCACCGCCCATCACCTGGAGGTGCCGCACCACCGCCCATCACCTGGAGGTGCCGCACCACCGCCCATCACCTGGAGGTGCCGCACCACCGCCCATCACCTGGAGGTGCCGCACCACCGCCCATCACCTGGAGGTGCCGCACCACCGCCCATCACCTGGAGGTGCCGCACCACCGCCCATCACCTGGAGGTGCCACACCACCGCCCATCACCTGGAGGGGCCACACCACCGCCCATCACCTGGAGGGGCCACACCACCGCCCATCACCTGGAGGGGCCACACCACCGCCCATCACCTGGAGGGGCCACACCACCGCCCATCACCTGGAGGGGCCACACCACCGCCCATCACCTGGAGGGGCCACACCACCGCCCATCACCTGGAGGGGCCACACCACCGCCCATCACCTGGAGGGGCCACACCACCGCCCATCACCTGGAGGGGCCACACCACCGCCCATCACCTGGAGGGGCCACACCACCGCCCATCACCTGGAGGGGGCCACTCCACCGCCCATCACCTGGAGGGGCCACACCACCGCCCATCCCCAGAAGGGCTCTTCCTCCAAAGAATTGGAGCTGCCTTCAATGTACTTGGAACAAAGCAGATAGCGCCCGTTCCAAGCCGGTGGATGAGAACGTCACAGCTTCGAAATGAATACAAGTACCAGAGGACAAGCCAGAAGAAAATAAACCGCCCTCTAGAATAGAAATATCTCCCCCCTCCCCCCTGCACCTTTTCTATCTCTCCTCTTCCACCACATTTTTCTCCTCTCCCTCTAGCATTTGCCATGAGTGCATGGGCAGTGATCTTGTAAATTTTATCCGTTTCTGTTGTACTCGCCTATATAAAGTGGCAGGGGTCGAATCATATGTTCATATATATATATATATATATATATATATATATTATATATATATATATATATATTATAATATATATATATATATATATATATATATATATATTTTTTTTTTTCTAGGTAGTAGGTTGGTAGACAGCGACCGCCCAGGGAGGTACTACCGTCCTGCCAAGTGAGTGTAAAACGAAAGCCTGTAATTTCTTTACATGATGGTAGGATTGCTGGTGTCCATTTTTCTGTCTCATAAACATGCAAGATTTCAGGTACGTCTTGCTACTTCTACTTACACTTAGGTCACACTACACATACATATAGAAGCATATATATACACACCCCTCTGGGTTTTCTCCTATTTTCTTTCTAGTTCTTGTTCTTGTTTATTTCCTCTTATCTCCATGGGGAAATGAAGCAAATTCTTCCTCCGTAAGCCATGCGTGTTGTAAGAGGCGACTAAAATGCCGGGAGCAAGGGGCTAGTAACTCCCTCTCCTGTATATATTTACTTAATGTAAAAGGAGAAACTTTCGTTTTTCCATTTGGGCCACCCCGCCTCGGTGGGATACGGCCAGTGTGTTGAAAGAAAGGTTATATATATATAATATATATATATATATATATATATATATATATATATATATATAATATAATATATATATATATATATATATATATATATATATATATATATATAATATATATATATATGTCGTGCCGAATATGTAAAACTGGTCAGTTAGCAAGAACTCATTTAAAATTAAGTCCTTTCTAAAATTCTCTTTTATACATTTAGATATATTTTTTTCATTAATGATAATGTAAAAATTTATAATTTTGCACCAAAAGAATCTTAGAAAACTTACCTAACCGTATTATAACGAGAACAATTTATTTTAGCCTAACTCAACTAAATATATTTTAGATACGTTGACAATAATTTAATACTAAACAAACAGTGAAATATATTTTTTTCGTTAGGTTCAAAATGATTTTGGCGAATTTATTGCATACACAAATTTTCACTTGTCTTATATGGCAAGATGAGCGTTGCTATTTAAGCCAAAATCGCAAGTTCTGCCTATTCGGCACGACATATGACATATATGTATATATACATGTAAAATATTGAATGTTTTAGTATTTATAAATTTAATCCATTGTTTTTATTGTTGCATAGATTTCTTTATGGCTGAGTGCGCTGGGTGACCCAGGTGCTCAGTAAATGTCACGTCTACCTTCCTACTTCACATTTTCCTCCACTCTTTTCTCCTTTACCTTTTTTCGTATTCCATTTCCTTCTCCTCCGGTTCCACTTTCCTTGTGTGTCTTAGGCTACGTCTTCTACATTATCCTGCATTTTTTCCGCTTCTCCCATCTTCCTATTACCACGTCATCTTTACCCTCACTACTCCAGACAATTACAACGATCATTTCTGCATTCCCCTTCCTTTCCCCTCGTCTCTGCCATCATTTCTTCAGCTCGATCTTGCAGCTTTGTCTCCATTTCTACTTGTGTCTTTATTCTGTCTCCCTCTCTCCTTCCAACGTCTCAACCATCTCTTCCTCCTCCTGTCACTCCCTCCAACACCTCTGAATAGCCCTTCCACCCCTTTCTCTTTCCATTATTATTTTTCTCCACTTCTCTCCATCTCTTCCCTCTCTCCCTCCCCTCTTTCTCGTTTCCCCCCACCCCTCTCTCCTCCCACCCCTTTCTCCTCCCACCCACCTCCTTTTGTTACTTTTTCTCACTTTCTCTCCCTCCCACCTCCATGTTTCGCTCCTCGTCTCTTCTTCCGCCAGATTCCGCACTTGGAAACGTGACGGAGAGCTGGTGGTGTTGTGGTCGCAGCACGGGCGTGACCGCCTGGCCGTACAGCTGGTGCGAGGTCAGCTGTGTCTGCTGCTTCGTCTGCACCCGGAGCCTCCCAGAGCTCTCTGCCTCACCAGGGCCCAGCTGACAGACGGCAGATGGCACTCCGTCTCTGCCGCCAGGTAACTTTGCTGGTAGCGCTAGTGTCACCCAGATGTGCCTGGCCTATGGCCGGGCTCCGGGAGTAGAAAGGCTCTCGGAACTCGTCAAAGGTATACCCTATTCAGTGTTTTTTACCCAAAGAATTGGAGCTACTCTCCTTTCTCAAGGGATCAGTTCTGGTTACCTCCCTGGCCTCGCTCAGTTCAGTTCTTGAAGTCGTAGATAGTTTAAGAATTATCATTTAGCAAAGCTTTGACTGATGTGTACAGGATTTGCAAAAGCTCATACGTCGCACGCAAGGACGATTTCTTTAAACCCTGTCATTCGAACGGTAGTCAGTATGCGAGTCAGGGAACCTCCGGCTCGAATCCTGGTTAGCCATCGCTTTTACACGATTGTTAACCAGGATGGCTAATCACGATTCGAACCTGAATACTGAAGGTTCCCTGACTCGCATACTGACTATCGTTCAAATCGTCCTTGCGTGCGACGTATGAGCTTTTGCAAATCCTGTACACATCAGCTATTCTGATAAGGAGAGGCGACGATGTTGCAGTTCGGAGGGTGGTATAATCTGTGACTTCAGCACACCTCTGGCAAGACAGCCATTGAGTGAATAACAGTGAATGTGTTCAACATTTGTCACCCTACATTTGTGGGAGACGGCCGAGGTGTTTAATAATGAATATATGTATTTAAGAATTGCTCAATAATTTCCTGGAGTGTGTTTAGTCACTACAAAAACTTCACTCGCTGGCGTTTGGTGGCAGTGTTTTTCAGTGTACCTTCAAGTGGGCAACAACGATAACATACGCAGCTATTTGTGTCAGCTCTGGTTTATTCTGCTAAAAGCGTTTAAGCGGTAATGGAAAGTCAGAGCGAGTTAATTTTAGTGCTAAAATTAGTAAATTTAGGCAATGCTTGCATTTTCTCGAACCCCCCCCCCAAACCCCCAACTAGAGTACAGGAATGTTGCTTCGGCCCACACCACGGGAAGACAGTTTTAACGTATCAGTAAGTAACTTCCTTGCGTTGCCTTCTTTCGTGAGGATTTCTTCATGCTGATGAGGGTCACTTGATCAAAGTAAATTAGGCATCCTCTCCTTTCCTCTTGTTAAGCCTGATTACTCTTCACTCATCCCAGATACTACGTAACCCACAAATGTTACGATTTATAATAATACCCCTCAAGGGAGATTCATTGATGCTGGTGAGGGACTCTTGTTCTAGGGAATTGGATATGTGCTCCAGTTCCCTGAATTGAGCCTGAATGCCCTGCCTCCCCCCTCTCCCCCACACAGGCGCAGTATAATCCCTACGGGTTTAGAGCTTCTCAATAATAACAACAACCTCAGTTTTAATGCCTCTTATCATTTTCCTCTACCCTGGGGCTTGCTAGGTAATACTGCATGTTCTTCCTGACTCGAATTCATAATATGAAACATTAGTCTGATTTAACCTAGTATATAGCCTCGTAAACGAGTGGCTGCAACAATCCACATTAATATACGAGACTCGGTTTGCTTTTCCAGCGCATAATGTGCGTTGAATTTTTGATAATTAAAATTACGCTTGTACAGGATACTAACCGTGTTCAACTTCCGTGTTCACCATCACTTTGGCCAGTTGGAAAACTTGAGAATAATGATAGCGAAAATATTGCGTGCATGTCACCTAGCTGTACAAACTTGGCGCTGCGGAGAGAGACTTGGTCTCAACAATTAGAGCTTTCAATTCTTTTCCCCAGACGCTGCATAACCCTTACGGATTTAACCCTCTCCACCATGAACATAAAAAAATTTATGCTGAAGTATTTCCTTATTTTCTTTCGAAAGCTGAGCTTTTAACCAATTCGTTATGAACCGCGTCTTGTTTAATTAAGGACTTCTAAATAGAGTATCTCTTCTGCTAATATAATAAAGATATTTTAAATAGCATATATCTAGTAAAATAAAATGATCGGTCAGGTTCACCTGACCGATCATTCTTGCCGACAGGTAGCCTTGTCTGGTATCACGTCGCTGAGGCAACGCCCCACTTGCCCTGGGCTTTCATACTGTCTTCCCGCAATGCAATCAGAAGGCTTGGCTCTGTCTATGGTAATCCTAGTGTTCAAGACCGAAGCTCTTTGTACAAGTCACACGCTTACCTAGCACCGCGTGGATTGATTGATCAACACAACCAAAGGGACATACATCATATTTGATTTGTTCCCAAGTAATTTTATGCGAGCGAATGCATTGATTTGTGCATTGGTTTTTTGGTTGTGCTTGTGCATGGATTTCTGCGTGCGTGCGCTTGGATTTGTGCTCTCCCACTCGGAGAATTTGTGGCTGTGTGGAGATACAGTTCCATAGCTCTGGAAGGCGGTTTAACGCACCGACCACATGGAACGTGTCGTTAAACTTGCAGTAACGCACCGACCACATGGAACGTGTCGTTAAACTTGCATTAATAATATCATTATTTTTTCCGGGCACCGATTACCTACGTTCTTTTGTTGGGTATTATTGTAAAATAGGAAGCGTAAAATTAGATACTTGGCATTGGAAGCCTTTCAAAACGTGCGCTTCACTAATAAGCGATTCTTTTTTTGCGATCTTAAATACAGTGATTCAGTGTACTTATGTTTGCAAAAATCTGTTAAGACGTTCATATAAGGAACGAAATTAAGCAGTAACAGCTGTTTCCCTTTCTCTTCGAATTAATTATATTCGTTTTTCCTTATCTGTAACGCAGTTGTTTTTTCGTGTTATTTTAATCTGTATAAACTTTACATGTTATTTCAGAGCATCAAAGTTTATTAAACGTCATCTCATTTTCATTTTTTTTTCCGTTCTGCTTGATATCTGTAGTCTCATTTGCCTGGTAATGATCACGTTAACAGGTGTCCCCAGCCGCTCAACTGTAGTTCTTAACGTCACTGACAATACATTATGAAGTTTGTATTATGGTGGCGTGTACCTCGTTATATCTTTATTGTTGGTCTCTACACTATCTCTGCTCATTTCACCCTGCCAAAACTCATTTAATTCTGCCAGGACTCATTTCCACGAGTGAGCTGCTTTTAGAACAACTTCATTTACAAATCGCAATATTTTTTTTTTACAATCTTCCATAAATGTGGCTGGTGGTTGAGTATTTGTGTTTGTCTGGGAAAAAAAAAAAACTAAAATTTATAAAATCCCTTGCCTAATATTTGCCTACTAGCAGAGTTAGGCATGCCAAAATTTAAATGGAAAGTGCAAAGACAAGAGCATTGTATCCCAAAATTACTTTGAAGTGATCTAGATTAACAAGCGCATACAGGAGATACTGAAATGCTTGTGAGCCAACTGATAACGGAGCCAAGAAGTGTTAATACTCTTGATCTAGTTTTCACTAACATCCACATTTGATAAATATCTCCATGGAGTAGCAAATTGTATTATTAGGTTAAATACTATAACAAGTGAAATAGTGAAACGGATATTCGGATGTCTACTTGATCACAAAGTGATTTTCAACAATAGAAAATCCAGTCTGAGCAAAGTAAAAAAACAACGCTACTTAACCTTTTACTATTTCTCGGTTATAAAACATGTATTTAAGAAACAATTGCCACATTTCCGTGTCTTGTTTTCAGGAGGATACTTGTATAAGCATTAATTGTTAGTAAACAGACTGAATTATTTCGCTCGGGTATCAGTGTTGTAACTGACGGAAAATATGATTTTCAAGAGTAACAGACGGTAAATGTTTTTGATACAGAAAGAGCGAAGAACCCAATACGACTACAGGATGAAACATATGCTTAGAATTTTGCATAAAGTGGGTTATGTAGCGAGAGTACAGAAAATCGAAATCGGTTATTTGAGTTACTTGTATTTCCGGGGAGGGTAGTCTAAGTATCTATGGATCTTTTCCTTTTAAATTCAATGGGGCAAAAAAAATGCATGTGAATAAGTTTTGTCTGCTTGTTACGTATGTTCGTCCCCTCAAGGAAGGTTCCTTGATGTTGGTGAGGGGCTCTTGATTTAGGGAATTGGATCTGTGCTCCAGTTCCCCGAATTAAGCCTGAATGCCTTCCACATCCCCCCCCAGGCGCTGTATAATCCTCCGGGTTTAGCGCTTCCCCCTTGATTATAATAATAATACGTATGTTCGTATTTGGGTGGGTGAGGAGGGAAGTCAGAGTCCTCAACGGAAAATCAGGAATTTGTGTTTACATTTGTCTGTGCATTCGCTTTTGGTTTATTTACACATTCATGTCAGGGGAATCACAAATGTATTTTCTGTGTCAGATGAAAACAAAACTCTCCTCGGAATTTTAGTCATTCCTATCAATATTCTTACATTAACAGCAGACTATTATTATTCTACAAGACGATCTCGCATCGATTGAGAAACTGTAGTCAAATATTGTCTTTAAAATGCAGGAAAATCTCTTCTATTTTCTCTCCTCACATAAACTAGAATGGGTTTATATTTTTTATTTTGTATGATAAATGTACACACAACGAATGTAGGAGAGGAAATATTCTACTGATGATAGTACTTGCCTACTAAGGGCCAGCAGGCTTAATGCAGTGTTCCAGTGTTTAAATACAAGAATTGTCAAGATGTACTTGGATGTGTAACTTGAACTAATTGTAGTATGCGTGGCTTGAAAGGCTAGAATAGGGCTTTACAGTGAGAAGAGCTAGATTACGAAGCCAACCCCAAATATGGGTTTAAAGTAGTACTTCTACTTTAGTTAAGCATATTTAAAAAGCTTCCACAATATGGTTCAACACGATCTTTAAGACCCAGTTGTAAATAACCTTGAACTCGTTTACATCTGTACTTTTATTCCTTGTTGGTGGGATATATTGAGGAGGGTTTAAGATAAGTGGTAAGTAAACAAGCTCTTAAGCTTTATTCTGGCTAAATTTACTGTTTTTTTAAGACTGCCACTTAAAATTTCTACGAAGTATTGCATTAGGAGCAGCATTTTAACACTCACAGTAGTAAGTTATTTATATTTAACCTAATAACACAACAATGGAAAAATAGAGTATGGAGTTGATGTTATTACAGCACCTGGAAAAACAACCCTAATTTACCGGAAAAAATGTATTTTATTAGTCGTTTAGCAAAGTATTTAGGCGGCATATGAATATGAAGACAAGTGTAGGTTCTGACGATTGTGTACTGGCCTAGCAGGCTCACTAGTGGTCTTGGATGTCTACGGTAATCCTTGAAGAATCTTGAGAACTTGAAATACTTCGAGGATATAAAGAACTTCAGGAAACACTGACCATAGGGAATTGGAGGAGAGAGTATATTCGATGGCCAACGGATAAGCTCTAACACACGGACTCTGGGGAGACTAGTAAAGGTGACAGAGGTAGTTCAGACTCGTAACTACAATTACTATTTTATTTCTTCTTACGACACAGATTAGGCCGTAATTAGCGGACGAATTGTCTAACCTCCATCTTTCCTTTTGCTTGGTGATACTGATGGGTTTAGCCCTTCACGTAAATAATTATCGATAAGCAGCTTATCTCACGAAATTATGAAGTATATCTTCTGCATTTGTTGTGCTGCAGACACGGCTCAGCTACCTTCCTCATGGCTGACGACGGTGAGGGCGACTTGTATAATGCTTCGCTGTCCATGGACGGTCGTCAGCTGCTGGAGGTGGACAAGCAGGAGGGTGTCCACGTCGGGGGTTCTCCTGAGTACGTGGGAGTTAGCGTCTTCAAGATCCACGGCGACTTCTACGACGGTAAGAACGTACTGAGTTGGACAGAATTGCGTCCTGTTGACAGAAGTAAAGTTAGGCAGAATAATTCATACAAACAGAAACTTGGGTAACTAGATTAAAGTATTCTCAGCGGATAGCCTCAAAATAAATTGTCTTTGCTCTTCTTTTTCCAATTTCTCTGCCAAGACACGACTTTTGTTTGTCTTCAACGCACCGAGATATCGTGTATTAGTAGAGCTCATGAGAAAGTAGAAAACAATTTTTAAGTTCATTTATAGGCTCGATCTGCCGACAACAAAACTGCAATCAGGCTACCTCTCCTTCAGTCATTGTACAGTTATCTTGTCACAATTATACTGCAAGACCAGTTTGTCTTCTTTGTCTTCCCGGTGTTTTTAGTTTTACTATTCTTGAATTCTGTCTCTTGTTTTGAAATTAGGATGCTTTCGATAGCGTCTCTGGGTTAAGCCTTTCTACTGTTTGTGACGCGAATATTTAATGCGCTGCCGTCTACCAACTTTTGAAGAAACATTATGTATTTAGAAAATGATAGATCGTTGTATAATTTTCCCGTCTTGTCTTTGCCATGTGTGTGTGGGGGGGGGGCGGGATGTTTATAAACGTATGTATTCTGGTATTCACGCATGTGTATTGGACCTTGCGTGTTAATGAATACTCTTTCTGTGCTTGCTGGAGCTGAGCGTCAGCTCTTGGCTCCAGCCTCAACCTGTGAGGGCTGGAGGGATTATTGTGTGTTGTAAAACATATTATAACCTTCCCACATCCCTCCTTCCTTCTCCCTTTCTCTCCTTCTCTGTTCTCTACCCCCAATTTCTTTACCGCTCTTTCCCTGCTCTGCTTACAGCCACTTTAAAGGTTACCTTACCGTGGTTGAGGGACTGATGGCCAGAGTGCCTGACTCAACTTGGCATATGATAGACAGGAAGCAGCAACTGGGAACATATTTGTCTGCATTAACAATTACTGTACTGCTTTTGTCTGTCATCTAAAATTCATCGGTATAACCATGAATTTCGTCGGCATTAATTGCGGGGATATTTCCCTTCTAACAAAATTTTTCTGACTTATTCTATGACTTAGAAGGAAATATTGATTTAGTTGGGGCTGGGGTTAATAGACTTAAGAATTTTTATAATATTTTGATTAAATATTGATCTTATTTGCAATGAAAATAATCGTGAATGCGGAGAGTAAATTTTATATTTTATATTTCTTATGTAGAGCTCTAAACTCGTGTGGTTCATTGAGAGCAATAACTTGTTCAGACTCGATCCACTGTCAGCTGTACACTTCCTGGTCTCTTAGACAAGCTGTTGATAATTTTCTAGGCAAACTGGTATTAGTAGCATCAACATGTTAACGATAAACCCTATGGATTTAGCGCTTCCTCATGACTATAACACTGAAGGCAGTGAATTAATAATGTCTAGTTCTTTGGACACTTCAAGGGCATCCCCCCTTGATGCTAGTGAAGGTCTTTTGATTCAAAGAATTGGAGCTGCCCTCTTTTCCTCAGATCGAACACGATTCCCTCTTCTATCTGGCCTTTCTTCATTTTTACATATATCATGCAGTTAGGTTTTTTTTCTGTCCATGATTCTCTGCATTGTGGCTCTTGTTTTCAGTTTTTTATTTTGTGGTGGGGGGCTCCCAACCGACTCTGCTATTAAATCTTTTTTTTTTTTTTTTTTTTTTTTTTTTTGCTCACATCTTTCAAACTTCCTCTTAAATTTATACTTGTTGGCTTGCATTTATTTTTTAGTCTTGTCAGCCATTTTAACCTCTTGTACTTTAATCATTAACCTTTTTTTTTCTCTATTTTTTTGCACGACGGTTTTCTACCCAATCACAATTAAGAATGTTGTGCCAGCGAGCGTCTAACTTTAAACTCGCGTCTAAAATGTTAGAATTTTTATACGGTAGAAATTTATTAAAATATAGTTAAATGACACCAGCTACGACCATGTCCACAAAGGTTATGGCAGTGGAAGCTGACAGCCACTGTACCGGCCAGTGACTGTCAACTTCCACTTATCCATATTGTTGTTCAAGTTGTTCTCTTTAACCGTCAGTCAAATCCACCATTGTGCTTTGTTGCCGATTTGATCTGAAGTATCGTATAGTTGGTCGCTCCAGAACAACATTCACGACAACGCTTATTATCAGTTTTTGCTGCTGTTTCTCGGAGAGATCTGCAGGAGGCAAAATCTGTCACTAATAAATAATGTACGTATACGTAAAATAGTTGGGAATTGATCACCAGTAATCATCAACGATGGGAGGTGTTGTTGTAACCATTCAGCAAGGTGAGTCTCTGTCTCTGTCTCTGTCTCTGTCTCTGTCTCTGTCTCTGTCTCTGTCTCTCTGTCTCTGTCTCTGTCTCTGTCTCTGTCTCTGTCTCTGTCTCTCTCTCTCTGTCTCTCTGTCTCTCTCTCTGTCTCTCTCTCTGTCTCTCTCTCTCTGTCTCTCTCTGTCTCTGTCTCTCTCTGTCTCTGTCTCTGTCTCTGTCTCTGTCTCTCTCTCTGTCTCTCTCTCTGTCTCTCTCTCTGTCTCTCTGTCTCTCTCTGTCTCTCTCTCTCTCTCTCTCTCTCTCTCTCTCTCTCTCTCTCTCTCTCTCTGAAACAGCACTGAGAGGGGGAGGTAGGTCGGTGGGTTGGTTGGTTTTGCGTGCACGTCACACCAAGATTACTTCAAATACTTGATTTTAAAGTAGCGTCCTTGCTCCTAATTCTCCTATTTTAGTGCATAGAATGTTACCTATGGGTCAGATACAAGAATTATGATTAAAGCTTTAGTTGAAATAAGCACTATTTCCAAGTGCGTTCCTGAAACTGTAATTTTATTCTTTAGGAAATTCTGCTGTTTCCTCGACAGTTCCAAGAAATGCAATTTCCTGGTAAGGACAATAAAACCTCGGAATTACTACCGAAGTGTTATATTTACGAGGGTAGCGCATAAATAAAATAGCAAAAACATTACATAGAAATAGATGAAACAATGCACAAAGCGTTAGAAGTATCATAACGAAAGCAGTGGTATCTGATTCCGAATACTAGGATTTTCAATTCTTTCTGTCGAGGCTCAGGCTGTGCACGGGGTATATAAATACCTGGGTGGGTTCTGACACAAGGAAACCACAATGATAAAAACGCATAGTGGGAGTAATTGTATACATTTTCCCGATTTTCTGCTTTGTAGTGCGGGAAAGTAAAATAATTTATTTTGACTTCTACTGAAGGCCATAAGCACTGAATAAACCTCTGTAATACAAAGAGGAAAGAATAGATGTCTTGGAAACAGCAGCAACAGGGAGAACAGTTGATCTGGACTTTAAATTGCAGGATAAAAAAAAATATTGAAAGGTCAATAGAAAGTACTTCTTCCTAAATAATATATAACTAAAATTTGCTTCGCGTGGTAGTAAAGCGCGTTCCAGTCGAAGGAAATTTAGGATATTTGGCAAGTTGCGTATTTTATACAGTTGCTATTAATCACCCATTTAAGAATCTGCAATTCAGATTTTGTCTTTAAAGAAATGTCAACATTTTTGCGATTGGATTTCTCGGAAAATAAATTCGTATAATTCTAAACTAATCTGGTGATACTATATAGTTTGGGAAGTTTAATATCATCACTCAGACACTGCAGACATTGTATTTCATGAGGAGTTAAACCCATGGGGGTCATTCAGCGCAGTGAATGGTAGAGGCTCGATCCACCATTCGCTAATTGCGGCTCTGTAGATAAGAGCCACGGAACTCGGATCTAGTCAGTTGATTACTCTGAAGGAAAGTCAACTGGTGGATGCCATTGATATTAACGAGGAATATGGAAGTCTCTAACATAATGTATAATGTATTTCTTTTTACCTTTGTAATGCAGATGTAATTTAAAAACTCATTTCCATATTGAAAATACGAATGTTTAAGCTACTACATATTTTTTTTCCGATTGTGAACGCACATTATTTCGTTTTATTTCCAATAAAAATTAGTAATATCACACACCCCAGACTCGAGCCATAATACCTGCATCATTCCTCTTAGTGTTTCACTGTTGTCCTCAACTTCCTCTTTCCCCAGTCCACTTCTCCACGTCTCTGCGAGGTGTCTCACCCTCGTCTCTCTTTGTTCAGGTTGTATTGATGACGTAAGGATCTCCGGGCGGAGTGCGCCGCTGCCTCCGGCCATCAACGGCACGGCGTGGGGGCAGGCCAGCATGTTCAAGGGCGTGGAGGGAGGGTGCCGTGCGCCCCCCGCCTGCACCAACGTCACCTGCAGAGCTCCCCTCACCTGCGTCGACACCTGGAGGTCCTACCACTGCGGGTGAGTATTATTGCCACTGATGCTAACTCTAATGCGAAACTGGGTCACCTGAGTGCGGTACTAGAGCTAAGTGACTTGTATCTGAAAAATGTGTAGGCGGCAAATCTCTTGGTAGGAAAAGATGGTACTTTGAAATTTTCAGAGTCCAGCAAGTCTTTTGGATTATGATGATTGAAATTCATCCTAATCTGTTAAACTGTGCCGGTTGACGAAAGAAAAAGGCTTCCCTTCCAGTCCCAGTTTATGATAGCTGTCGGTCTATCAGGACGGTAGTGGATCATTTTGTGGTGGAATTATTACTAAAAGATGGCTGTGAATCCTAGAGTGGAGGATGAAGGTATGCAACGCCCGTCCTCATTTGTTTTCGTTCCACCATTAATAGGTAAATAACACCTGTATTTCGTTGCTCGCGGTCTAAACGTGTGACTGTAAACACCATATTTATTTCTGGAGGGACCATTCTAGTGTCTGCACAAGGTAGAGTAAAAGTGATCTTGGGTGAAGTCGCCACTGTTACTCTTAACGGTGGGGAAGATGAATTTTTGAGACGGTCGTGTGATTCTTTAATATTAACGAAAAATATTTGATTACCATTTGTTATCAATGCCTTGCATACGGATGTAAAGTTCTACTGATGTCTTGGACATGATAGGATCTCGGGTAATGAACAAGATCATCCTGAGGTTTAGGCTGTTACATTCAGCATGCTACGTAGCAGAGATGATAGTGTGTTATGCATTTGAGTTTGTGGAGAATGGAAGTATTCTACTTCTTGACAACACCTTTTATTTAACTTTGAACCATTTGATTAGTTCTTTGGCATTGTTACTCATATTTTACTACTACTATCTACGATTCTTTATCTTGAAGAATTGAGACGCTTATGCAACACTTGGGAATCTTTACTGAAGAAACGTTTCGCCACACAGTGGCTTCATCAGTCCAACACAAAATATAAATGGGTAAGGAGAGGAGAAGTTTGAGGTAATCAGTCCCTCAACCTGGAATCGATGTGTTCAGTCCATCACTCTTGTAGGAAGTGCAGCTTAGGGCCAGAGAGGTGGCTTATATACTGCAGTCAGACGAGTCGAAGCAGGAGGCGGCGGGATCACAGTGGGACCTGCCACTAGTTTAAGTAGGTCGTCGTCCAAAGGTTGGACAAGCGTTGAAGTCTTTGTACCAAGATCCCATGATGCTGCAGTGTCACAAATATGTCAGACACTGCAGTGTCAGATTCTTTATCTTACTGTTCATTTATTTGTGAATCAAATGATAGATGGGGAGGCCTGGTCTCAGACCGGGCCGCGGGGGCGTTGACCCCCGGAACTCTCTCCAGGTAAACACTCTCCAGGTAGGGTACAACTGATTTTGACCACTTAAGTTGAAAATTCGTGTTTGATGTTCCAGAGGGTTAGGTGGGTGCGAAGCTTCCACCTAAACCCTCTTGTTTCAGTTCTCTGGTAAAAAGTGAATCCTTGAAAATTATAGCGAGTTACAGAAATGATACGGATGACAGTGTGGAGGCAGTAACGAGAGCTTTATTATTGAAAAGTTTGTAATAAAGTTGGTAGAATTACCGACAATATGCACTTGTATCCTTTTACTTTACATTATTGAAAAGGCTACAGCAAAATACGTAGTTCCTAGTTTACTAATGGTGAGTTGGAGGTAACGAATGAAAGAACATTAAATATTACCCAGGATAGAACTTCGCAAACCTCTCACAAAGCAGTGGAAATCAAATGCGTTATAAAAGCTTTAGTGTACGAGTCTATCCAGCAAAATTGTCGTAGAATAAAAAATACGAGACCAGAATTTCTTGTTAAAAGCAATATAAAGAAAGCACCAGTGAAGAGAGTGCTGTACCAGTATTACTGGACTAACTCTGAAAACTTGGTAGTATAGCTAGCAATTTCCTGAGAGCAACAAATGAAAGAAGCGGTAGAGGAGAAAGAGAGGAACGCAAATAGGAGGCGGAAAGCCCAGTGATTCAAGATTAAGGAGACATAATTCTACATGCATCGGAATGAAAGGCTTTCCTGTGTATTGCCTTAGGTAGCCAGTAGAGGGGAAAGCTTTCCCAGGTGTAAGAGCAGCACTCATCACAGAGCAAGTTTATTGTGGCAGTAAAATGGTAATGAAAGTGGTAAATAGTCATTAAAATCAAGATGGGGATAAGCATTAACGACAAGCAGATTTCAGACTAAAATATATGAACTGTAAATAGATATATAGGATAAAATTGGTGCTAAGGAATTGGATACAAGATAGTTAAGACTTGTAGATGAACGAAGGTGATGATAGGGAAAAGATACTTTGAATAGTTAATTAAGGATACGACTTTTATCATTTGCACATAGATTTCTAATTTTAATTTCGGTCAGCTTGAGCTAACTGGCTGGATGTCTTAGACTAATGTTGATTGGATATCTGACTGAACAGTTGACTAGTTCTGACGTTATTCTTAGTTTTATTGGTTAGATGTATGCATGTTTGTCTGCTTTCCTGTCTTGCTGATTTATTGATCAAACTTAGTTGCTCTGAGTGACAGTGTAGCCAGCATCTTCACTACCCACACCCTTCATACCGCCAACACCCTCACCACCGCCCCCTCTCCATCACCACTCTTACTTCTGTCCCACCAAGGGGGCGTGACTGTAATCGAATTCTGGCAGCCAATACGTAGGTCTTTATGCAGCGTTCGCCAGCGAGCATACTGAGAGGCTGCCGCCACCCCCACACGATTCCAATTTACTGCACCGCCGATATTCCCGGCTGTAAAGATAGTTACAAATGTTTGCTGTTTCCTCACAGCTAAGGTTGGCACGTGGCTGCTGTATCGAGGCTGCAGGGGAGGTACATCATGGCTGGGACTTGGGCTGTGGTGGAGTGAGTTGTGGAGGTGGTGCCGGAATGGCCGATGATGGGAAAGGTGGAGCCGGATGAGCATGTAGTGGGCGGGTAGTGGAGTGAGTGGGGAGGCACTGAGAGGGCGCAGGGAGTGTTCCTGGGAGTACACTTGACAACAGTGAGGAGTGAGCGTGAGTGTTGGTTCGGCAGGATACACACACAAACTTTTTTCTCTCTCTTTTTCATTCTTTTTTGTTTTTCTTTCTTTCCTTTTTCTCCCTTTTTTTCTTTTCCTTTTGTTTCTCTATCTTTTACTTTCTACTTTCTTTTTCCCTTCGCTTTTGAGGAATTAATACAAGCTGCTCTTCATTACACAAACTTCCCGACTCGTGTGGGTACAAATGACTTCGAGCAAGACAAGTCACGAGATAAGTTACACTACTGTTCCTCAGCTTAAGAACCTCTCCACAAGTGGCCTGGTGGCTAAAGCTCCCGCTTCACACACGGAGGGCCCGGGTTCGATTCCCGGCGGGTGGAAACATTCGACACGTTTCCTTACACCTGTTGTCCTGTTCACCTAGCAGCAAATAGGTACCTGGGTGTTAGTCGACTGGTGTGGGTCGCATCCTGGGGGACAAGATTAAGGACCCCAATGGAAATAAGTTAGACAGTCCTCGATGACGCACTGACTTAATTGGGTTATCCTGGGTGGCTAACCCTCCGGGGTTAAAAATCCGAACGAAATCTCTCTCTCTCTTCCAGTTACAAACATTCAGGCTGACAAACAGTTCAATTAAGTTATACAATTACAGAAATGCATTACGACCGTGCGTGAAATTCCAGACCCTCTGTGCATTGATGTTTTCTATACAAATAGCATGTTAGTAAATTGAAAACTGTAAGGAGTTGGTGGTTTGTAAGTTGAAAAATCCGGAAAGAGAACTTTTTTGCAAGATCAACACCCAGGAAGGAAACTTGTTTTCGTATTAATAACCCAGGAATTGAACTAGTTTTCAAATTATAAACTCAAGAACTAGTTGGGAAGTTGGGTGGAAAGCCTGTATATACTCTAATAAATATTTATCAATTTATAAGATAACTGTCAGCAAGTTTAAGGGTTTATTTTTATATTGTAAGTGTTGATAAAACTGGCAAAGAAATCTGTTAAGAGATAAGTACAGTCGAGGAAGATAAATGATCTTAATTGAGAAACTTATAATGAGCCTAAAAACTCAAGGTCATGAGAAAATTAGAGCCAATACAGAAACGTACAGAAGAAAAAACTGATCCGAAAAAAATTGAGAGAAGCTAAGACAAAACTGTAGTAGGCAGCAGCTGTAGTAGGAAGCAACTGTAGAAGGAACCAACTGTAGTAGGAAGCTGCTGTAGTAGGCAGCAACTGTGGTGTGAAAAAACTTGTGGTGAGATGAACCTGTGGTGAAATGAAACTACAGTGAGAAACTAGCTTTGTTTACAGATGTGGGGAGGGACGAGTGTTATCCGCCAGCCGCACCACTTGTGAGGATGAGGACGAGTGTGTGTGGGAACCATGCCTCAACGGCGGCACCTGCTTCAACAAGCCCTCAGGTAAGTGTGTGCGTCTGCTCGCTTTCGCATGTGTGGGGACGTGTGGGGGTGCGCGTGCGTATACCTGCAGAGGATCTCGGGGGTCAACGCCCCTGCGGCCCAGTCTGAGACCAGGCCTTGTGGTGGATCAGGGTCTGATCAACCAGGCTGTTACTGCTGGCCACACCGCTAGGTTTTCTCGAGTGAGATTTGCAATCTGCGCCCCAGAGTTTATACTCCCTTGCCTATATTTTTCACCTTTTCCCCAATTTGATAATCGTGGAAATGCTGGGGTTGAATTCCATTAGTCACGTTGACCAATCCTGCAGTTTGTCAGGTTCAGTTGCAGCTTCCGTAACAACAGCTTTGTTCTCATTCATGTTTACATCTACAAATAAGGACTTGATTGTTTGTCTTGATATTCAGCCAAGAATTCTATTTTATCTCGAACACTTTTGTACTGTTGTCTTTAGTTTAAGATCACTGCTAACGAAAATTTCTAAGCCTTTTTTTTCTTGCATTCAGTTTGGCTGAGATCTATAATATTAAGTGTGTGTACGTACGTACAGTGGTTTACTTTGGTAGTGTTCTAGTGAACTCCAATTCACTGGTGCTCACGTTCAACCAACCGGACTTTCCCACATTTGTTCAGGGGAGGATACCGTTGGTATGGCTACGTTTAACTTTATACCATATATTCAACATGATGCCTGATGCCGGTGAAGGACTCTTAATTTAATTAGACCTACCCTTATATTTCTTTATTCTAATCCGTTTACCTGCCATTTCCCAGGCGCTATAAGACAATTATGGTTTCAGCGCCTCTAAATAATATATATATATATATATATATATATATATATATATATATATATATAAATATATATATATATATATATATATATATATATATATATATAATATATATATATATATATATAAATACTGTTTAACGTCAAAACATCAGCTCTAGCTATTGCCGTGATTCTCCACTATTAACCTGCATAATACATTTCAGGAGAGATAGCGAGTTTAATTACGAGGAAACAATAGTAGTGTGACGGCCCTGGGGTTGTAGTGTTCTGATAATTATCATGTTCTGTTATTCCCCATTTTTTCTGTTAATGAGATGTTAAGATTTTTTTCTTTGCTCCACATTAATAAAATTACCACAATGCCGATGTTATAGTTTCTTTAAATTTATAAATAAAATATATAAATGCTTTCCCTCCTCTCATAGAGGTAGGGTGACCTAAAGAAGTATAACATTCGAAATCACTCACTCAGACAAAAGTGTGCAGACATCTCTATTCGAACGACCCTTCGAAGGTGCAGGTACTAGTAACATGTCCCACCTCCAGGAATAAGATCCAGCTAGAAAATAACCGTAGTCCTCTGAGTAAAATAATCATCCATGTCTCTTAAATTGAATTATAATACATAAAAATTAGTGATTTTTTTTGGTCTGACCCGAGTATATTTTTAAGAAATAACATTAAGACTGACAAGCCAGCAGTGGTCACGGGAGATCCTTCACCGAGTCCCATGAGCTCAAGAAAGACCAACGTTCGGAGGGAGAGAAGAAATCGGCTGGTTTTCTGGTGATGAATGGGCAAGGAAGGCTTAACACAGAAAATTGTTGTAGCATAGTGGAGGGCCTTCATCCTGCAAGCTTCTGAGGGAGGTTACTGGTGGTGGTAGTACTGCAGCTGTGATTGCTGATAGTGGTAGTTGTGGTGGCGATGCGGCCGTTTCTACTGCTATGCCTGGAATTATCTACGCGTTTGTGTTCATGCATGCTATTTGATCAGCAATTACTTTAAGTGGGTAATAATTTTATTGTACACACGTGAACCTTTGTTTGCCGTTTTCTTTCTCTACTTCATCTAGTATATTCCACGCTCTAGTTTGCCGTCACACTGAATAAGTTTAACCCGTAAACGGTACAAACTTATACATACGTTTTTTTCAACATTTGAAAGTTTGTAAAAAAAGTAGATCTTCTTTTTGTTTTTTTACATCTGAAAGTGTAAAAAAAACTATGATCTACTTTTTTTTTGTTATATTTCAAAATATGTAAAAAAAAAAACGTAGATCTACTTTTGTAGCACTACACATGTGAAAGTAGATCTGCTTGGACCGTTTACGGGTTAAAATAACTTCACTCTGGCTCTTTTGAGTTTAATTTTCACGTGTTTTCGTTCTGGTCCCAACAACAGAGAACATCTTGTTTATCTACACAATTTATATCCTAGAGTATCTTGTATGATGTTATAGTATCCTCTCGCAAAGCGCCTGACCTGTCAGGCTGTTCAATTTACCTCTCTGGTCTTATCGTGCCTCGTATATTAATTCGGGGACCAACAAAGTGGCACCTCTGTTCATTTTCAAATTTCCTTGAGAGTTTAAGAGAATGTGAACTCTGCATAGATGTACCAATCTCAAATAATGCTCTCATCCCTGGAATTTCCTTCCTTCGAAGGGTGTCTTGATGTTAGTGAAAGCCTCTTGATCAAAGATGAAGATACTATCTTGCTTTTCCTCAGATCAAACATTCCATTCATCAAGTGCTGCACGACTCATACGGACTTAGAACTTCACCAGAACATCACACTGATCCAACATTTGCTCATTTTCTTGGAATTTTGTTGTTCCTAACGTACTTGTCATTTTCCTTGAATGTAATGTCTTTCAGTCCGATTAAAAACTTTTGCTTAAATTGCCTTTCTAATGCGGATTTAAACAGTTTTGTTTTGTCTCGACTGCTGTTATTCTCAAACATATTCATTTTTCTCTAGGTTATTTTGTAGTCATTCGTACCTCCCTTAACAGTTCCTTTAAAAGTGAGGTGCATTGATGCTAGTGAAGAGCTCTTGCTCCAGGGAACTGGAACTACCCTAGTTTTCCTCTGATCATAACCTGAATACAAGCTATTCCCAATCCCCAAGTGTTCCATGATCTCCTACAGAATTAAAGCTGCTTCACTGATAATAACAAAAAAATAATTAATTCATATTTCTTCCATACCATCTTGTACCATATTTTTTTTCGGGAGGGGGGGGGGGAGCGGGATGGGAACATTGTCTGTTGAACAAAGGGTTCTAATAATCATGGACCAAGTGTATAGGGCACAAGATTCTGTGCATAATTATGTGCGAAACTGGAAACAATTTTATGTTGGCTTCCCTTAGAATTCAGTGTCCCATTGAATCCATTATGAAAGCTCTCGTGCACCCTCGGTTTCCTCGTCTTCAATGCAACCATTTCCTTGCCTTTTAATATTTCCCAGACTTCTGCTAAATGAAGAACAAGCTCTTCGGGGAACCTCTTATTTCCTTGATGATCGGTTCTCCTATTAAATTTTTACTGCAGTCTATTCACTGTTGTTTAGACTGGGAGACGTACCTGAACAAAAGGCTTCCTCTTTTTTGTGCTTTTGATGTGATTGTTATCCACAAATTCATGCGGTTGACGTTCTTCTATTTAGACAGTGTGTTATATAAGGCAGCTACCTAAGTATCCCCCTTTTCATTTCATTTTCATCAGGTGATGACTCTTGAAGAGGCTGCACTGATACTAGTGAAGGGCCCTTTTCCCAAGAATTAAAGCTAGTTTTCCCATTACGTACTAGAACCACTCCTGATTGCAACGCATTCCCTGTACAATTCGTACGACTGTACTACTTCCCTATGAATATCACATACTCTGTGAACTCGCGATAAAATGTCATCTCCCCTCCAGTCTTTCTGGTCTTATGTACTGACTTGTGAATATTTTGCCAGGAATTTACAATATCGAAGTCTACATGACTTGTTTGGGTTCCAACCCTATATTTAAGATTATTTGCCTCATGATTCAACTTGTGCACAGTATTTCGTGTCCCGTAGCTGGATCGCTAGCGCACTCAGCTCACACACTGAGGTCCGGAGATCGAATCTCCGGTACGGCTGCAAAACATTAGGACGTGTTTCCGTAAGACACCGGCTGTTCCTGTTCATCCATCAGTATAAAATGGGTACCTGCGTGTTAGTCGACTGGTGTGGGTCGCATCCTGGGACAAAACTGACCTAATTTGCCAGAAATGCTCAGCATAGCAAGGGGCTTTCTGTATAGCATTATGCCATTGATGTCAGCTATGGTCTGTATGCCTTGTACTTGTAGAAATAGATATATTATTATTGGGCGTTTGAACTCTGAGGTAGATATGTAGAAGGTTGAACTGAAATGTGAGGTTTGATGTGGAGATGTGAAAATAGAGGTGGTACCGGATGAAAAAAAAGGGAACGATGTGGATGATAAAACCGGATGAGGCGAGGTGTAGGGAGTCTCTAAATTTATTAATTGATCCAATAGCAAAGGAGTTCAAATAAATATAAAAGAAATATGAGGATAAACTTCAAACAACGCTAAAAGTTTTTAGATTTCTAATAATAAAGGAATCCAATATACCTAAGTTAGTATACAATGTATACTAACTTACGGGGGAAGAGGTTACATTCTTGTACAGATATTTCTTTATTATAGATAGAATAACATGTAAGGGGTAAAAAAAAAAAGTTATATAATTCAGTTCATATTAAAAGTTAATCCAGTTAAGAGGTAAGAATCCTCGGTGGATTAGTTGTAATGACATTAAATTTAGATTTGAAACAAAGGATAAATACTTCAAACCTAGGCCAGTGTGTGCTAGTATACGATACACAGAAGTCTCAAAACCATTAACATTATTTGTAATTAAAATATCTCGGAATGAAACTCATTCTTCTCTTGGACCTCTACAGTAATTTACTATTTTTGTGTAGTGAATTTAGATGTTCTTTTATGAATAGCGCTGTATAGTCCTTGTGGCTTAGCGCTTCTTTTTGATTATAATAATAATTTTATGAATAGCAAAATATAACGTCTGTACAATAAGAGTTTAAATTCAACAGGACAATTAATTATGTGTATTAATTATGCTGGTGTTGCAATGGGTTCTCCTACTGGACTAACACTTGCTAATGTTTTCTCTGTTTTCGCGACACAAATTGCCTTAATTATTCTGCTTAATTTAAACCTGTGTTTTACAGACCTTACGTTGGGCCTTTTTTTTTTTTTGATATTCAAATAGGAAGAATGCTATAATGGTGAAAGATTATCTAAATTCACAAGAGTAAAAACAAACAAAACACACACACACACACACACTGAAATATCTTCAAATAGGTGTAAAGATTTGCTCTATGTATGCATGTCTGTTTCCATCCCCATACACATCGTGTTTCCCACCATCAGCAGGATACATGTGCGCGTGTCCTAATGGATTCAGTGGACAACACTGCCACCTGCCTGACGTGGGAGACACCTCCCTCAAACTATCCCTGGGTGCTCTGGTCGCCATCGTCGTCTGGTGCACCTTCCTCTTCCGTGAGTAGCGGTAGTAGCGGTGGTGGTGGTAAGGGGTAGGAGGAGGAAGTCTTGATAAAGGTGATTTTAATAGCAGTTGTAGCGGGGTAAGGAATGACTGAGGTATCAGTGATGGTAGTGGTAATATTTGCAGCAGAAGTAATAATTTCAGTGGTACCTGAAGCGGCGGTGATAGCGGGAATAGTATTTGCAATAGTGGCGGAAGCATTTTTGTTAGCCCTGGTGAAACGAGATGTTGCTGTTGCAGTACTTGATGACAGTAATACTTATATTAAACAGTACTGCTTGTTTCTGGTGAAGATAACTAGAAAAGTTACCCTCCCTCGGATCAAAACTGATTGCCTCCCATTGTCCCAAGTGCTGTATGACTCCTACAGGTTTAGGCCGTCCCTATGAATATAAGTAAGAAATGAATGATAGAGGTGATGGTAATGTTTACTAGGGTATCTTAGTTCAGTTCCTCACAGCAAGGTAATGCAGTTGACACATCTAGGATGGTACCTCGATGTTGGTTGAGGGCTCGTGATCCATTGAATTGGAGCTACTCCCTTTTATCAGTGATTACTCCAACATCCCTCCCAATCTCCAGACGACCCTTACGGTTTTATCGCTTCTTCATAACTATAATCGTACTGCCGTAAGCGTTAAATTATATGAATAATTCGGCCGAAATTACCTTTTTTTTCTAGTGCTGATCTGCGCCTTCCTGCTACACCAGCATCACAGGAGGTCGAGCCTGCGCCGCGGCATGGCTGACGGTAAGGACAGTACCATGAACGGCAAGGACCAGGCTTCAACTCCGTGTAACCACACTCCCAACCTGCTAGAGCTGAAGCTGCTTAAGCCGCCCAAGGCCAACGGGCAGCCAGCGTGGACCAAGAACCCCAATATTGCAGGTAACTATAGTCTCTCCTTCGAGGGAGAGGCCTTGATGCGGCTGAAAGGCTTTTGACCGAGGAACTGGATACTTCCTTTTCTCGCATCGAATCGACAATAATCATTTAATGGAGTTTTTAATTTATGGTGGATATTTTAACTGGGTATAACTAATTTGTGTTGACAGTTCCTTGCTTTTAGTGTTTATTTTCCTTATTTTTAATGGATGTACTGTATATACTTTAATGACTTATGAGCGCTGAGTGACAGAATGCTTCGTAAATGTGACTACTACTAGTCCTGGTATTTGGATCGAAAGTGATAATCTCCCATTTCCCTGGCGCTGTATGACTCCGCCCGGGTTAGCTCTCCCGTGATTATAACGATAGATACATTAATGGTGAATTTCTAGGTACTCCGTGCATGTGCTACCTTGAAAGGAGTGGGGGGGGGGGGTTCTTCTGATGAAAGGCTCATGATTCGAGGAACTGAAGCTACCCTTCCTCTCCGTGAACCAATTTAATGACCTCCCATTCCCCTACGTTTACGAAACAATGGTCCCATGAGTAATCGTCCATGTTTTCCTATTCTGAAGAAAAACTTTGGTCAAACTAAATTTGTGTTATGAAGTGCTTTCTTCAGTCTCTCCTCCCTTCATCATTTGCTTTCTATCACTCCTTTCCGCATAATTTTCATCCTTTACTCTTGCACCTCTCTTCTTCCCTGCCGCTTTCCATAAGTGTAACTGAACCTCCCCCGTCTCCTTCAGACGTGGACGTCCTGCAGGTGGATGCCGCCTCCGTCACCAGCAGCTTGGAGGACCAGAGACGTGGAGGAGGTTCGGTATCCGGGGTGGAGGCCAAGCGAGGAGGGGCCAAGAATGGGGGGAAGAAGAGCGGAGGGAGCAGGGGAGGGAACGTGTCTAACCCTCCGGCTGGGGACGACCTAAGAAATTACGCCTACGAAGGGGAGGGTTCCTCCCCAGGATCACTCTCTTCATGTGAGTCACAGCAAGAGACGGAAGGTTGAAGGACGCTGAGGGTAATAAAGATGCATAATAGAGGATTATAGTAGGTAAAATGGAGCTGATGATTGAGAAAGGATGTGGTGTGTATCTGAAGGGTTCAAGGGAAGTGTGAAAGAATGAGAACTGGGGGAATAGATATTCTTTCTTGTAAATTGTGAAGGTGATCTGTGTGTAAGGGTAGTTTGTGACTGATGGAGAGGGTCTGTAGATTGTGGTGGTTACGCGAGGAGAGATTAGAATATGAAGCCTGAATGTCTTTAAAAGATAGTTTAAATGTGAAGGGGATAATGTACGTTGTGGGGGTGACGCACGTTCTCTATGACTGTTTGTAGGGTCTGTGAGAATGAGTGACGGTCTAAAAAGAAAGTAGAATCTGTGAGGAAACAGGTTACTAGTAATTTTGTAAACACTAGTTAGTCGCGAGGAAGGCGGCATAAATGTCTAGGTAGTGAGGGATACACGTGGAGAAGGTAGAGAGGATTTTTAGTATGAAAGACCCCTGGGGGAGTTTTCCAGGATTCAAGAAGTATGACAGATGGGAAGGGTTTTATTTTGTGAATCGGTTAACCCCCTGTGGGTCATCCAGCGCAAGGAGTGATGACTTTGATCCTCCATCCAGTAATCAGCCAGAGCGAGCGTGGCTAAGGGGGGAAGGAGTGTGGCTAGGCTTAGCATGCTCCTTCAAACATTTCTTTTCTTGTGGAACGTCATTAGCGATTTTAGTTTCCATTATATAATCTTTTGCAATTATTTTTCTTGACTCGCACTAACATGTAGCTAATCTACATTATCAATAAAAGGTTTATATGCAGACTTTTCACAATTGTAGGAAATAATCATCAAACATTTCGATCCTGTCAATTAACTTATGGGGAAAAAGCACCCTCAAAAAAAACCTGAATAATTTTCTCAGGATTTCAATGTTACCCAAACACTCATTATTTGCACATTTTGAACAGCGCTATGTGACTTGCGGGTTTAGCGCTTAGTTTAGATTATAATAACGTACTTTTTGACATACTGGTTAAAAATATGGCATGAAAGATAAAATACAGACGATTTTGCATATAGGACCCAGGTAACATTT